TGAGTGGGTAGGTGAGTAGGTAGGTGAGTGGGTGAGTGGGTGGGTATGTGAGTAGGTAGGTGAGTGGGTGAGTGGGTACGTGAGTAGGTAGGTGAGTGGGTCAGTGGGTAGGTGAATAGGTAGGTGAGTGGGTGAGTGGGTAGGTGAGTGGGTGGGTATGTGAGTAGGTAGGTGAGTGGGTGAGTGGGTAGGTGAGTAGGTAGGTGAGTTGGTGAGTGGGTAGGTGAGTAGGTGAGTGGCTGGGTAGGTGAGTGGGTGAGTGGGTGGGTAGGTGAGTAGGTAGGTGAGTTGGTGAGTGGGTGGGTATGTGAGTAGGTATGTGAGTGGGTGAGTGGGTAGGTGAGTAGGTAGGTGAGTGGGTGAGTGGGTAGGTCAGTAGGTAGGTGAGTGCGTGAGTGGGTAGGTGAGTGGGTGAGTGGGTAGGTAGGTGAGTGGGTGAGTGGGTGGGTATGTGAGTAGGTAGGTGAGTGGGTGGGTATGTGAGTAGGTATGTGAGTGGGTGAGTGGGTAGGTGAGTGGGTGAGTGGGTGGGTACGTGAGTAGGTAGGTGAGTGTGTGAGTGGGTAGGTGAGTTGGTGGGTGAGTGGGTAGGTGAGTAGGTAGGTGAGTGGGTGGGTAGGTGAGTGGGTAGGTGAGTGAGTGGGTAGGTGAGTAGGTAGGTGAGTGGGTAGGTGAGTAGGTAGGTGAGTGGGTGAGTGGGTGGGTACGTGAGTAGGTGGGTGAGTGGGTGGGTAGATGAGTAGGTAGGTGAGTGGGTTGGTAGTTGTGTGGGTGAGTGGGTGGGTAGGTCAGTGGGTAGGTGAGTGAGTGGGTAGGTGAGTAGGTAGGTGAGTGGGTGGGTAGTTGAGTGGGTGAGTGGGTGAGTAGGTCAGTGGGTAGGTGAGTGAGTGGGTAGGTGAGTAGGTAGGTGAGTGGGTGAATGGGTAGGTGAGTGGGTGAGTGGGTTGGTAGGTGATTAGGTAGGTGAGTGGGTGAGTTTGTGGGTATGTGAGTGGGTAGGTGAGTAGGTAGGTGAGTGGGTGAGTGAGTAGGTAGGTGACTTGGTGGGTGAGTGGGTGAGTAGGTGAGTAGGTAGGTGAGTGGGTAGGTGAGTAGGTGGGTGAGTGAGCGAGTGGGTAGCTGAGTAGGTAGATGAATGGGTAGGTGAGTTGGTGGGTGAGTGGGTAGGTGAGTAGGTAGGTGAATGGGTGAGTGGGTAGGTGAGTGGGTGGGTAGGTGAGTGGGTAGGTGAGTAGGTTGGTGAGTGGGTGAGTAGGTAGGTGAGTTGGTGGGTGAGTGGGTGGGTAGATGATTAGGTAGGTGAGTGAGTGAGCGGGTGGGTAGGTGAGTAGGTAGGTGAGTGGGTAGGTGAGTTGGTAGGTGAGTGGGTGGGTAGGTGAGTAGGTAGGTGAGTGGGTAGGTGAGTGGGTAGGTGAGTAGGTAGGTGAGTGGGTGGGTAGGTGAGTGGGTGGGTAGGTGAGTAGGTAGGTGAGTGAGCGGGTGAGTAGGTGAGTGGGTAGGTGAATGGGTAGGTAAGTGGGTAGGTGATTAGGTAGGTGAATGGGTGGGTTGCTGAGGCAAGCCGGACCGGTACCGCCTGGATCTCTGTGGGACTCAGGAGGAGGTCTGACTGACTGACCGGTCCCCTTGTCTGGAGAGGCTGCCGCTACTCTGTCCGGAGCCAGACCGGTACCGCCTGGATCTCTGTGGGACACAGGAGGAGGTCTGACTGACTGACCGGTCCCCTTGTGTGGAGAGGCTGCCGCTACTCTGTCCGAAGCCGGACCGGTACCGCCTGGATCTCTGTGGGACACAGGAAGTCTGACTGTCTGGTTTCCGTGTGTGGAGAGGCTGCCGCTAGCTCTGTCCGGAGCCGGACCGGTACCGCCTGGATCTCTGTGGGACTCAGGAGGTCTGACTGACTGACTGACCGGTCCCCTTGTGTGTGGAGAGGCTGCCGCTAGCTCTGTCCGGAGCCGGACCGGTACCGTTCGCCAATGGGAAAAGTCACAGGACAGCGTTCAGGGATTTCTATCCGCCATAGGGTCACCAGGAGTGGTGGTGGTTGTGGTGATGTTGGTGGTTGTGGTGATGGTTGTGGTGATGTTGGTGGTTGTGGTGATGTTGGTGGTGATGTTGGTGGTGGTGGTTGTGGTGATGGTTGTGGTGATGTTGGTGGTTGTGGTGATGGTTGTGGTGATGTTGGTGGTGATGTTGGTGGTGGTGGTTGTGGTGATGGTTGTGGTGATGTTGGTGGTTGTGGTGATGTTGGTGGTGATGTTGGTGGTGGTGATGGTGGTTGTGGTGATGACGATGGTTGTGGTGATGTTGGTGATTAATACCAGACATCTTAAATACAAGCAACTTTATTTAAAGAGCCAATGATGATACTACTGATGATACTGCTACTGATGATACTACTACTGATTCTGATAATACTAATGATACTACTGATGATAATACTACGACTGATGATACTACCACTGATGATGATACTACTGATAATACTGATGATACTACCACTGATGATACTGATGATGACACTACTTCTCATTATGATGGTTGTGGTGATGTTGGTGATTAATATCAGACATCTTAAATACAAGCAACTTTATTTAAAGAGCCAATGATGATGATGATACTGATGATTATGATACTACTACGGATGATGATACTACTACTGATGATTATGATACTTCTCATGATGATGATGGTTGTGGTGATGTTGGTGATTAATACCAGAGACAACATCTTAAATACAAGCAACTTTATTTAAAGAGCCAATGATGATGATACTACTGATGATTATGATACTACTACGGATGATGATACTACTACTGATGATTATGATACTTCTCATGATGATGATGGTTGTGGTGATGTTGGTGATTAATACCAGAGACAACATCTTAAATACAAGCAACTTTATTTAAAGAGCCAATGATGATGATACTGATGATGATGATACTACTGATGATGGTGATACTACTACTGATGATGATGATGATAATACTGATGATGATACTTCTCATGATGATGATGGTTGTGGTGATGTTGGTGATGGTGATTAATACCAGACACAACATCTTAAATACAAGCAACTTTATTTAAAGAGCCAATGATGATGATACTGATGATGATGATACTACTGATGATGGTGATGATACTACTGATGATGATACTACTACTGATGATGATACTACTGATAATACTATTGATGATACTACTACTGATGATGATACTACTGATGATGATGATACTACTACTGATGATGATACTACTACTGATGATGATACTACTACTGATGATGATACTACTACTGATGATGATACTACTACTACTGATGATGATGATACTACTACTGATGATGATACTACTACTGATGATACTACTGATGATGATGCTGCTGCTGATGATGCTGCTGATATATCTCTATAGTACAAGCTTTACACACACCCCACACCCACACACAATGGTAACCATGGCAACAACGTGGAGGTTACTACGTTAGCAGAGGGTAGTTGGGTGGGGGCTAGTAGCAGTAGTGGTGGATGTGGGTAGTAGTAGTGGTAGTGTGTGTGGTTGTACTAGTAGTAGTGTGTGTGGTTGTACTAGTAGTAGTAGTAGTGTGGTTGTAGTAGTAGTGTGTGTGGTTGTAGTAGTAGTAGTGTGTGTGATTGTACTAGTAGTAGTGTGTGTGGTTGTAGTAGTAGTAGTGTGTGTAGTTGTACTAGTAGTAGTGTGTGTGGTTGTACTAGTAGTAGTAGTGTGGTTGTAGTAGTAGTAGTAGTGTGTGTGGTTGTAGTAGTAGTAGTGTGTGTGATTGTACTAGTAGTAGTGTGTGTAGTTGTACTAGTAGTAGTGTGTGTGGTTGTACTAGTAGTAGTAGTGTGTGTGGTTGTACTAGTAGTAGTAGTGTGTGTGGTTGTACTAGTAGTAGTGTGGTTGTAGTAGTAGTAGTAGTGTGTGTGGTTGTACTAGTAGTAGTAGTGTGTGTGGTTGTACTAGTAGTAGTAGTGTGTGTGGTTGTACTAGTAGTAGTGTGGTTGTAGTAGTAGTAGTAGTGTGTGTAGTTGTACTAGTAGTGGTAGTGTGTGTGGTTGTACTAGTAGTAGTGTGGTTGTAGTAGTAGTAGTAGTGTGTGTGGTTGTACTAGTAGTAGTAGTGTGTGTGGTTGTAGTAGTAGTAGTGTTGGCGGTGTGTGTGTATGTGTGTGTAGGTGTGTGTGTATGTGTGTGTAGGTGTGTGTAGGTGTGTGTGTGTAGGTGTGTGTGTAGGTGTGTGTGTTTAGTGTGTGTGTGTAGGTGTGTGTGTGTAGGTGTGTGTATGTGTGTGTGTAGGTGTGTGTAGGTGTGTGTGTAGGTGTGTGTATGTGTAGGTGTGTGTGTGTGTATGTGTGTGTGTAGGTGTGTGTGTATGTGTAGGTGTGTGTGTGTGTAGGTGTGTGTATGTGTGTGTAGGTGTGTGTAGGTGTGTGTGTGTGTAGGCTAGTAGTACTAGTAGTAGTGTGTGTGTAGGTGTGTGTAGGTGTGTGTGTAGGTGTGTGTAGGTGTGTGTAGGTGTGTGTGTGTATGTGTAGGTGTGTGTAGGTGTGTGTATGTGTGTGTAGGTGTGTGTAGGTGTGTGTGTGTGTAGGCTAGTAGTACTAGTAGTAGTGTGTGTGTAGGTGTGTGTAGGTGTGTGTGTAGGTGTGTGTGTGTATGTGTGTGTATGTGTGTGTTTAGTGTATGTGTGTGTGGTGTGTGTGTTTAGTGTATGTGTGTGTGTGTAGGTGTGTGTAGGTGTGTGTGTAGGTGTGTGTGTGTATGTGTGTGTATGTATGTGTGTAGGTGTGTGTTTATTGTGTTAGTGTGTGTGTTTAGTGTATGTATGTGTGTGTGTTTATTGTGTTAGTGTGTTTAGTGTATGTGTTAGTGTGTGTGTTTAGTGTGTTAGTGTGTGTGTTTATTGTGTATGTGTGTGTGTTTAGTGTATGTGTAAGTGTGTATGTGTTAGTGTATGTGTGTGTGTGTATGTATGTGTCTGTATGTCTATTGTGTTAGTGTATGTATGTGTTTATTGTGTTAGTGTATGTGTTAGTGTGTATGTGTGTGTTTATTGTGTTAGTGTATGTGTTAGTGTGTATGTGTGTGTTTATTGTGTTAGTGTATGTATGTGTTAGTGTGTGTGCTTATTGTGTTAGTCAGACGTTGAAGCTCTCCCCACAACCGCAGGTGCCCCGCACGTTGGGATTGTTGAAGACGAACTCCGAGCCCAGCCGGCTCTCGGAGTAGTCCATCTCTGAGCCCAGCAGAGACAGTTGCGCCTTCTGGTCCACGTACACGCGCACGCCTGACACCAAAATCACACGTTCGGGAGACGTTCGGGAGACGTTGGGACGACATTCAAATGAGTGGGTGGGTGAGTGGGTGGGTGAGTGGGTGAGTGGGTGGGTGAGTGGGTGAGTGGGTGAGTGAGTGAGTGAGTGGGTGAGTGGGTGGGTGGGTGGGTGAGTGAGTAGGTGAGTGAGTTGGTGAGTGAGTGGGTGAGTGAGTGAGTGAGTAGGTGAGTGGGTGGTAGGGTGGGTGAGGGAGTGGGTGGGTGAGTGGGTGGGTGAGTGAGTGAGTGAGTGGGTGAGTGGGTGAGTGGGTGAGTGAGTGAGTGAGTGGGTGAGTGGGTAGGTGAGTGAGTGGGTGAGTGTGTGAGTGAGTGAGTAGGTGAGTGGGTGGGTGAGTGGGTGGGTGAGTGAGTGAGTGGGTGGGTGAGTGGGTGGGTGGGTGGGTGAGTGAGTGGGTGGGTGAGTGGGTGGGTGAGTGAGTGGGTGAGTGAGTGGGTGGGTGAGTGAGTGGGTGAGTGAGTGGGTGGGTGAGTGAGTGGGTGGGTGAGTGGGTGAGTGAGTGGGTGAGTGAGTGAGTTGGTGAGTGAGTGGGTGAGTGAGTGGGTGGGTGAGTGGGTGGGTGAGTGAGTGAGTGGGTGGGTGAGTGGGTGGGTGGGTGGGTGAGTGAGTGAGTGAGTGGGTGAGTGGGTGAGTGGGTGGGTGAGTGGGTGAGTGAGTGGGTGGGTGAGTGGGAGGGTGGGTGAGTGAGTGAGTGGGTGGGTGAGTGGGTGGGTGAGTAAGTGAGTGGGTGAGTGAGTGGGTGGGTGAGTGGGTGGGTGGGTGAGTGAGTGAGTGGGTGAGTGGGTAGGTGAGTGAGTGGGTGAGTGTGTGAGTGAGTGAGTAGGTGAGTGGGTGGGTGAGTGAGTGAGTGGGTGAGTGAGTGCGTGAGTGAGTGGGTGAGTGAGTGAGTGGGTGAGTGAGTGGGTGAGTGAGTGAGTGGGTGAGTGAGTGAGTGGGTGGGTGAGTGGGTGAGTGGGTGGGTGAGTGGGTGAGTGAGTGAGTGGGTGAGTGAGTGGGTGAGTGAGTGGGTGGGTGAGTGAGTGAGTGAGTGGGTGGGTGAGTGGGTGGGTGAGTGAGTGAGTGGGTGGGTGGGTAGGTGGGTGAGTGAGTGGGTGAGTGAGTGGGTGGGTGGGTGAGTGAGTGAGTGAGTGGGTGAGTGAGTGGGTGAGTCAGTGAGTGAGTGGGTGAGTGAGTGGGTGAGTGAGTGGGTGGGTGGGTGAGTGGGTGGGTGAGTGAGTGAGTGAGTGGGTGAGTGAGTGAGTGGGTGAGTGAGTGTGTGAGTAAGTGGGTGGGTGAGTGAGTGGGTGGGTGGATGAGTGGGTGGGTGGGTGAGTGAGTGGGTGAGTGAGTGAGTGGGTGAGTGGGTGGGTGGGTGAGTGAGTGAGTGGGTGAGTGAGTGGGTGGGTAGGTGGGTGAGTGAGTGGGTGGGTAGGTGAGTAGGTAGGTGAGTGGGTAGGTGAGTAGGTAGGTGAGTGGGTGAGTGAGTGGGTAGGTGAGTAGGTAGGTGAGTGAGTGGGTAGTTGAGTGGGTGAGTGAGTGGGTAGGTCAGTGGGTAGGTGAGTGAGTGGGTAGGTGAGTAGGTAGGTGAGTGGGTGAATGGGTAGGTGAGTAGGTAGGTGAGTGGGTGAGTGAGTGAGTGGGTTGGTAGGTGATTAGGTAGGTGAGTGGGTGAGTTTGTGGGTAGGTGAGTGGGTAGGTGAGTAGGTAGGTGAGTGGGTGGGTGAGTGAGTAGGTAGGTGACTTGGTGGGTGAGTGGGTGAGTAGGTGAGTAGGTAGGTGAGTTGGTGAGTAGGTAGGTGAGTGGGTAGGTGAGTAGGTGGGTGAGTGAGCGAGTGGGTAGGTGAGTAGGTAGGTGAGTGGGTAGGTGAGTTGGTGGGTGAGTGGGTAGGTGAGTAGGTAGGTGAGTGGGTGGGTTGGTGAGTAGGTAGGTGAGTGGATAGGTGAGTAGGTAGGTGAATGGGTGAGTGGGTGGGTAGGTGAGTGGGTAGGTGAGTAGGTTGATGAGTGGGTGAGTGGGTGGGTGAGTAGGTAGGTGAGTGAGTGAGTTGGTGGGTGAGTGGGTGGGTGAGTGAGTGGGTGAGTGAGTGGGTGGGTGAGTGAGTGAGTGGGTGGGTGGGTGAGTGAGTGGGTGAGTGAGTGAGTGAGTGGGTGAGTGAGTGAGTGAGTGGGTGGGTGGGTGAGTGAGTGAGTAGGTGAGTGGGTGAGTGAGTAGGTGGGTGAGTGAGTGGGTGGGTGAGTGAGTGGGTGGGTGAGTGGGTGGGTGGGTGGGTGAGTGAGTGGGTGGGTGAGTGAGTGAGTGGGTGAGTGAGTGGGTGGGTGGGTGAGTGAGTGAGTGAGTGGGTGGGTGAGTGGGTGAGTGAGTGGGTGGGTGAGTGAGTGGGTGGGTGAGTGAGTGAGTGGGTGGGTGGGTGAGTGAGTGGGTGAGTGGGTGAGTGAGTGGGTGAGTGGGTGAGTGAGTGGGTGAGTGGGTGAGTGGGTGAGTGAGTGGGTGGGTAGGTGAGTGAGTGAGTAGGTGGGTGAGGTGAGTGGGTGAGTGGGTGGGTGAGTGGGTGAGTGGGTAAGTGAGTGAGTGAGTGGGTGGGTGAGTGAGTGGGTGGGTGGGTGAGTGAGTTGGTGAGTGAGTGGGTGAGTGGGTGGGTGGGTGGGTGAGTGAGTGAGTGAGTGGGTGAGTGGGTGGGTGAGTGAGTGGGTGAGTGGGTGGGTGAGTGAGTGGGTGGGTGAGTGAGTGGGTGGGTGAGTGAGTGAGTGAGTGGGTGTGTGGTTGGGTGGGTGAGTGAGTGAGTGGGTGGGTGAGTGAGTGAGTGGGTGGGTGGGTGAGTGGGTGAGTGGGTGAGTGGGTGGGTGAGTGAGTGGGTGGGTGAGTGGGTGGGTGGGTGAGTGAGTGGGTGGGTGAGTGAGTGGGTGAGTGGGTGGGTGAGTGAGTGGGTGAGTGGGTGGGTGAGTGGGTGGGTGAGTGGGTGGGTGAGTGAGTGGGTGGGTGAGTGGGTGAGTGGGTGGGTGGGTGAGTGAGTGAGTGAGTGGGTGAGTGAGTGAGTGAGTGGGTGGGTGGGTGAGTGAGTGAGTGAGTGGGTGGGTGAGTGAGTGGGTGAGTGAGTGGGTGAGTGAGTGGTGGGTGAGTGGGTGAGTGAGTGAGTGGGTGAGTGAGTGGGTGGGTGAGTGGGTGGGTGAGTGGGTGGGTGAGTGGGTGGGTGAGTGAGTGGGTGAGTGAGTGGGTGAGTGAATGAGTGGGTGGGTGAGTGGGTGAGTGGGTGGGTGAGTGAGTGGGTGAGTGAGTGAGTGGGTGAGTGAGTAGGTGAGTGAGTGAGTGGGTGGGTGAGTGGGTGGGTGAGTGAGTGAGTGGGTGAGTGGGTGAGTGAGTGGGTGAGTGAGTGGGTGAGTGAGTAGGTGAGTGAGTAGGTGAGTGGGTGAGTGAGTGGGTGAGTAGGTGAGTGAGTAGGTGAGTGAGTGAGTGAGTAGGTGAGTGAGTGAGTGGGTGAGTGAGTGAGTGGGTGAGTGAGTGAGTGGGTGAGTGAGTGAGTGAGTAGGTGAGTGGGTGGGTGAGTGGGTGGGTGAGTAGGTGAGTGAGTGGGTGAGTGAGTAGGTGAGTGGGTGAGTGAGTGGGTGAGTGAGTGAGTGGGTGAGTGAGTGAGTGGGTGAGTGAGTGGGTGAGTGAGTGAGTGGGTGAGTGAGTGAGTGGGTGAGTGAGTGGGTGAGTGAGTGAGTGGGTGAGTGAGTGAGTGGGTGAGTGAGTGAGTGGGTGAGTGAGTGAGTGAGTAGGTGAGTGGGTGGGTGAGTGGGTGGGTGAGTGGGTGAGTGAGTGGGTGAGTGAGTGGGTGAGTGAGTGAGTAGGTGAGTGGGTGATTGAGTGGGTGAGTGAGTGAGTAGGTGAGTGAGTGAGTAGGTGAGTGAGTGAGTGGGTGGGTGGGTGGGTGAGTGAGTAGGTGAGTGAGTGAGTGGGTGGGTGGGTGGGTGAGTGAGTAGGTGAGTGAGTGGGTGAGTGAGTGAGTAGGTGAGTGAGTGGGTGAGTGAGTGGGTGAGTGAGTAGGTGAGTGAGTTGGTGAGTGAGTGGGTGAGTGAGTGGGTGAGTGGCTGAGTGGCTGAGTGGGTGAGTGAGTGAGTGGGTGAGTAGGTGGGTGAGTGAGTGGGTGAGTGAGTAGGTGAGTGAGTGGGTGGGTGAGTGGGTCACCATCCTGTGTGACTTCTTCATCAAGGGCTCCTGCTGAGGCAGTGTACTCCAGTGTGTACGAGAGCCCGTTGCAGCCCCGGGTCCGCACTCCAACCTTAACACCTAACTGTGAGTACACATACAGTACATACAGTACATACAGTGCACATACAGTGCACATACAGTACACACACACAGTACACACAGTACACACACAGTACACACAGTACACACACAGTACATACAGTACACACACAGCACACACAGTACACAAAGTACACATACAGTACACATACAGTACACACATACACACAGTACACACACAGTACACACACACAGTACATACAGTACACACACACAGTACACACACACAGTACACACAGTACACACACAGTACACACACAGTACACACAGTACACACACAGTACACACACACAGTACACACACACACAGTACACACACAGTACACACACAGTACACACACAGTACACACACATACAGTACACACACACAGTACACACAGTACAGTACACACAGGTCACACAGTACACACACAGTACACACACACAGTACACACAGTACAGTACACACAGGTCACACAGTACACACACAGTACACACACACACACAGTACACACACAGTACACACACACACAGTACACACACACAGTACACACACAGTACACACACACAGTACACACACACACAGTACACACACACACAGTACACACAGTACAGTACACACAGTACACACACAGTACACACACACAGTACACACACACAGTACACACACAGTACACACACAGTACACACACACACAGTACACACACAGTACACACAGTACACACACAGTACACACACACAGTACACACACAGTACACACACAGTACACGCAGTACACACACAGTACACACAGTACACACACAGTACACACAGTACACACACACAGTACACACACACACACAGTACACACACACAGTACACACACAGTACACACAGTACACACACACAGTACACACACACAGTACACACACAGTACACACACACACAGTACACACACAGTACACACACACAGTATACACACACAGTACACACACACAGTACATACAGTACACACACACAGTACACACACACACAGTACACACACACAGTACACACACACAGTACACACACAGTACACACTCACAGTACACACACAGTACACACAGTACACACACAGTACACACACACAGTACACACACACAGTACACACACAGTACACACTCACAGTACACACACAGTACACACAGTACACACACACAGTACACACACACAGTACACACACACACAGTACACACACAGTACACACACACAGTACACACACACAGTACACACACAGTACACACACACAGTACACACACACAGTACACACACAGTGCACACACACTGTACACACACTGTACACACACACAGTACACACACACAGTACACACACACAGTACACACACAGTACACACACAGTACACACACAGTACACACACACAGTACACACACAGTACACACACACACAGTACACACACACAGTACACACACAGTACACACAGTACACACACACACAGTACACACACAGTACACACAGTACACACACAGTACACACACACAGTACACACACACAGTACACACACAGTACACACAGTACACACACAGCACACACACACAGTACACACACACAGTACACACACAGTACACACACACACAGTACACACAGTATACACACAGTACACACACAGTACACACACACACAGTACACACAGTATACACACAGTACACACACAGTACACACACACAGTACACACACACAGTACACACAGTACACACACACAATACACACACACAGTACACACACACACAGTACACACACACAGTACACACACAGTACACACACACAGTACATACAGTACACACAGTACACACACACACAGTACATACACACACAGTACACACACAGTACACACACACAGTACACACAGTACACACAGTACACACACACAGTACATACAGTACACACACACAGTACACACAGTACACACAGTACACACACACAGTACAGTACACACACAGTACATACAGTACATACAGTGCACACACACAGTACACACACAGTACACACACAGTACACACACAGTACATACAGTACACACACAGTACACACCGTAGACACACAGTACATACAGTACACACAGTACAGTACACACAGTACACACACAGTACAGTACACACACAGTACACACACACAGTGTACACACACACACAGTACACACAGTACACACACAGTACACACACACACACTACACACACACAGTACACACACACACACTACACACACACAGTACATACACACAGTACACACACACAGTACACACAGCACACACACACAGTACACACACACACACAGTACACACATAGTACACACAGTACACACACACAGTACACACAGCACACACACACAGTACACACAGTACACACACAGTACAGACACACAGTACACACACACAGTACACACACACACACACAGTACACACACACAGTACACACACACACAGTACACACACACAGTACACACACACAGTACATACAGTACACACACAGTACACACACACAGTACACACAGTACTTACAGTACAGCACATACAGTGCGCACAGTGCATACAGTACACACACAGTACACACAGCATACACACAGTGTACACATACAGTACACACACACAGTACACACAGTACATACAGTACAGTACACACACAGTGTACACATACAGTACACACAGTGCACACATACAGTACATACAGTGCACACACAGTACAGTACATACAGTACAGTCCCCGTGTCTCACGTATTCTGGTTTGTTCTCCATGAGCTGTCTGATCTTCATAACAGCAGCCGGAGTCTAAAGAGGAGGTGATGGTGGTGGTGATGGTGGTGGTGATAGTGGTGTAGGAGGTGGTGGTGGTGGTGGTGATGGTGGTGGTGGTGATGGTGGTGGTGATGGTGGTGGTGGTGATGGTGGTGGTGATGGTGGTGGTGGTGATGGTGGTGATGGTGGTGGTGGTGGTGATGGTGGTGATGGTGGTGGTGATGGTGGTGGTGGTGATGGTGGTGGTGGTGATGATGGTGGTGGTGGTGGTGATGATGGTGGTGGTGGTGATGGTGGTGGTGGTGATGGTGGTAGTGGTGGTGGTGGTGATGGTGGTGGTGGTGATGGTGGTGGTGGTGATGGTGGTGGTGATGGTGGTGATGATGGTGATGGTGGTGGTGATGGTGGTGGTGGTGATGGTGGTGGTGGTGATGGTGGTGGTGATGGTGGTGGTGATGATGGTGATGGTGGTGATGGTGGTGGTGGTGATGGTGGTGGTGATGGTGGTGGTGATGATGGTGGTGGAGGTGGAGAGACAAAGGGGGTGGGGAATTAGGAAATCAACATTCTGTGTTCCAACATCATCACCAAGTCTCTCTCCCTCCCTGTCTCCCCGTGTCTCTCTCCCCGTGTCTCTCTCCCCGTGTCTCTCTCCCCGTGTCTCTCTCCCCGTGTCTCTCTCTCCCCGTGTCTCTCTCTCTCCCCGTGTCTCTCTCCCCGTGTCTCTCTCACTCCCCGTGTCTCTCTCTCTCCCCGTGTCTCTCTCTCCCCGTGTCTCTCTCTCCCCGTGTCTCTCTCTCCCCGTGTCTCTCTCCCCGTGTCTCTCTCACTCCCCGTGTCTCTCTCTCTCCCCGTGTCTCTCTCTCCCCGTGTCTCTCTCTGTGTCTCTGTCTCCCCGTGTCTCTCTCTCCCCGTGTCTCTCTCTCTCCCCGTGTCTCTCTCTCTCCCCGTGTCTCTCTCTCTCCCCGTGTCTCTCTCTCTCCCCGTGTCTCTCTCCCCGTGTCTCTCTCTCCCCGTGTCTCTCTCTCCCCGTGTCTCTCTCTGTGTCTCTGTCTCCCCGTGTCTCTCTCTCCCCGTGTCTCTCTCTCCCCGTGTCTCTCTCTGTGTCTCTCTCCCCGTGTCTCTCTCTCCCCGTGTCTCTCTCCCCGTGTCTCTCTCTGTGTCTCTCTCCCCGTGTCTCTCTCCCTGTCTCCCCGTGTCTCTCTGTGTGTCTCTCTGTGTCTCCCCGTGTCTCTCTCTCACCAGGATGAGCGCTGCCCGTGTAGGCCCCGTCCGTCTTTGTCTCACCGCGCGGACGCTCGCGCGGAGTGCAGGGCCGGCCATGGTGAGGAGTGGTGAGGAGTGGTGGTGAGGAGTGGTGAGTGGTGAGGAGTGGTGAGTGGTGGTGGTGGTGGTGGTGAGTGGTGGTGGTGAGGAGTGGTGGTGGTGGTGGTGAGTGGTGGTGGTGAGGAGTGGTGAGGAGTGGTGGTGGTGGTGAGGAGTGGTGAGGAGTGGTGGTGAGTGGTGGTGGTGGTGGTGGTGAGTGGTGGTGGTGAGGAGTGGTGAGGAGTGGTGGTGGTGGTGGTGGTGAGTGGTGAGGAGTGGTGAGTGGTGGTGGTGGTGAGGAGTGGTGAGTGGTGGTAGTGAGTGAGTGGTGAGTGGTAGTGGTGGTGAGGAGTGGTGAGTGGTGGTGAGGGGTGAGTGGTAGTGGTGAGTGAGTGATGAGTGGCAGTGGTGAGTAGTAGTGGTGGTGAGTGGTAGTGGTGAGTGAGTGGTGAGTGGCAGTGGTGAGTGAGCGATGAGTGGCAGTGGTGAGTAGTAGTGGTAGTGGTGAGTGAGTGGTGAGTGGCAGTGGTGAGTGGTTGGTGAGTGAGTGGTGAGTGAGTGGGTGAGTGAGTGAGTGATTGGTGAGTGATTGGTGAGTGATTGGTGAGTGGTGAGTAGTAGTGGTGAGTGGTGAGTGATTGGTGAGTGGTGAGCGTTGATCAACGCAGCCTTGTTGACTTGAGTTTGAGTCAAAATATCTTCCGGAAGACGAAGAAGCGTTTCGGTGAAACCGGCAAAACGTCTTCCGGTAGATGTGTTTGTAACTTCCGGAAGAGGAAGACGCCTCACAACTTCCGGAAGACGTCTTCCGTCTTCCGGAAGATGACGCGAGGTGAGTGTTGCGCAACTTGATGTTGACACTGTTCGCTGACGAACTTCCGGAAGATCGCCACCGTTCGTTTTATTGGCGCACAAGGAGGTAGACGACTACCGGAAGACGTCTTCCTCTTCTGGAAGACTTTCGGTTGTTTTTTTTGGCAGCGTGGTTGCGCAACTCGTTGTCAATGTCACCGCAGATCTTCCGGAAGACGTCAACCGTCCGTTTTGTTGAACGTCTTCCGACCTTGCGGAAGATTTCATTCAATCACTCACCCACTCACTCACCCACTCACTCACTCACCCACTCACTCACCCACTCAGTCACTCACTCACCCACTCACTCACTCACCCACTCACCCACTCACCCACTCAGTCACTCACTCACCCACTCACTCACTCACCCACTCAGTCACTCACTCACCCACTCACTCACTCACCCACTCACCCACTCACTCACTCACCCACTCACTCACTCACCCACTCACCCACTCACTCGCCCACTCACTCACTCACTCACCCACTCACTCACCCACTCACTCACTCACCCACTCAGTCACTCACTCACCCACCCACTCACTCACCCACTCACCCACTCACCCACTCACTCGCCCACTCACTCACTCACCCACTCACTCACTCACTCGCCCACTCACTCACTCACTCACCCACTCACTCACCCACTCACTCACCCACCCACTCACTCACCCACTCACTCACCCACTCACTCACTCACCCACTCACTCACCCACTCACTCACCCACTCACTCACTCACCCACTCATTTACTCACTCATCCACTCACTCACTCACCCATTCACTCACTCACTCACCCACTCACTCACTCACCCACTCACTCACCCACTCACTCACTCACCCACTCACCCACTCACTCACCCACCCACTCACCCACTCACTCATCCACTCACTCACTCACTCACCCACTCACTCACCCACTCACTCGCCCACTCACTCGCTCACTCACCCACTCACTCACCCACTCACTCACCCACTCACTCACTCACCCACTCAGTCACTCACTCACCCACCCACTCACTCACCCACTCACCCACTCACCCACTCACTCGCCCACTCACTCACTCACCCACTCACTCACTCACTCGCCCACTCACTCACTCACTCACCCACTCACTCACCCACTCACTCACCCACCCACTCACTCACCCACTCACTCACCCACTCACTCACTCACCCACTCACTCACCCACTCACTCACCCACTCACTCACTCACCCACTCATTTACTCACTCATCCACTCACTCACTCACCCATTCACTCACTCACTCACCCACTCACTCACTCACCCACTCACTCACCCACTCACTCACTCACCCACTCACCCACTCACTCACCCACCCACTCACCCACTCACTCATCCACTCACTCACTCACTCACCCACTCACTCACCCACTCACTCGCCCACTCACTCGCTCACTCACCCACTCACTCACCCACTCACTCACCCACCCACTCACCCACTCACTCATCCACTCACTCACTCACTCACCCACTCACTCACCCACTCACTCGCCCACTCACTCGCTCACTCACCCACTCACTCACTCACCCACTCACTCACTCACCCGCTCACTCGCCCACTCACCCACTCACTCACTCACCCACTCACTCACCCACCCACTCACTCACTTACCCACTCACTCACCCACTCACTCACCCACTCACTCACTCACCCACTCACTCGCCCACTCACTCGCTCACTCACCCACTCACTCACCCACTCACTCACCCACCCACTCACCCACTCACTCATCCACTCACTCACTCACTCACCCACTCACTCACCCACTCACTCGCCCACTCACTCGCTCACTCACCCACTCACTCACTCACCCACTCACTCACTCACCCGCTCACTCGCCCACTCACCCACTCACTCACTCACCCACTCACTCACCCACCCACTCACTCACTTACCCACTCACTCACCCACTCACTCACCCACTCACTCACCCACTCACTCACTCACCCACTCACTCGCCCACTCACTCGCTCGCTCACTCACTCACTCGCCCACCCACTCACTCACTCACCCACTCACCACTAACCCACTCACCAACTCGCCCACTCACTCACCCACTCACCCACTCACCCATCCACTCCCTCGCTCGCTCACTCGCCCACTTAATGTTAAAGTCTCCCAATGACTTCAATGTTAAAGACTCCCTTAGACTCAACACTGCTAACCCATAGACTCAACACTGCCCATAGACTCAACATTGCCCCATAGACTCAACATTGCCCCATAGACTCAACATTGCCCAATATACTCAACACTGCACCATAGACTCAATACTGCCACTCATAGACTCAACACTGCCACCCATAGACTCAACACGGCTACTCATAGACTCAACACTGTCACCCATAGACTCAACACTGCCACCCATAGACTCAACTCGGCTACTCATAGACTCAACACTGCTAACCCATAGACTCAACACTGCACCATAGACTCAACACTGCCACCCATAGACTCAACACTGCTACCCATAGACTCAACACTGCCACCCATAGACTCAACACTGCCCCATAGACTCAACACTGCCACCCATAGACTCAGCACTGCCACCCATAGACTCAACACTCCCACCCATAGACTCAACACTCCCACCCATAGACTCAGCACTGCTACCCATAGACTCAACACTGCACCATAGACTCAACACTGCTACTCATAGACTCAACACTGCTACCCATAGACTCAACACTGCCACCCATAGACTCAACACTGCTACCCATAGACTCAACACTGCACCATAGACTCAACACTGCCCCATAGACTCAACACTGTCACCCATAGACTCAACATTGCTACCCATAGACTCAACACTGCCCCATAGACTCAACACTGTCACCCATAGACTCAACACTGCTACCCATAGACTCAACACTGCCACCCATAGACTCAACACTGCACCATAGACTCAGCACTGCTACCCATAGACTCAACACTGCACCATAGACTCAACACTGCCACCCATAGACTCAACACTGCTACCCATAGACTCAACATTGCCCCATAGACTCAACACTGCCACCCATAGACTCAACACTGCCACCCATAGACTCAACATTGCCACCCATAGACTCAACACTGCTACCCATAGACTCAGCACTGCCACCCATAGACTCAGCACTGCCACCCATAGACTCAACACTGCTACCCTTAGACTCAACATTGCTACCCATAGACTCAACATTGCCCCATAGACTCAACACTGCCACCCATAGACTCAACACTGTCACCCATAGACTCAACATTGCTACCCATAGACTCAACACTGCCACCCATAGACTCAACACTGCTACCCATAGACTCAACATTGATACCTATAGACTCAACATTGCCCCATAGACTCAACACTGCCACCCATAGACTCAACACTGTCACCCATAGACTCAACACTGCACCATAGACTCAACACTGCTACCCATAGACTCAACACTGTCACCCATAGACTCAACACTGCCACCCATAGACTCAACACTGCCACCCATAGACTCAACACTGCTACCCATAGACTCAACATTGATACCCATAGACTCAACATTGCCCCATAGACTCAACACTGCCACCCATAGACTCAACACTGTCACCCATAGACTCAACACTGCCCCATAGACTCAACACTGCCACCCATAGACTCAACACTGCCACCCATAGACTCAACACTGCCACCCATAGACTCAACACTGCCCCATAGACTCAACACTGCCCCATAGACTCAACACTGCCACCCATAGACTCAACACTGCACCATAGACTCAGCACTGCACCATAGACTCAACACTGCCCCATAGACTCAACACTGCCACCCATAGACTCAACACTGCTACCCATAGACTCAACACTGCACCATAGACTCAGCACTGCCACCCATAGACTCAACACTGTCACCCATAGACTCAACACTGCTACCCATAGACTCAACACTGATACCCATAGACTCAACACTACCCATAGACTCATCACTGTCACCCATAGACTCAACACTGCTACCCATAGACTCAACACTGCCACCCATAGACTCAACACTGCTACCCATAGACTCAACACTGCTACCCATAGACTCAACACTGCCACCCATAGACTCAACACTGCTACCCCTAGACTCAACACTGCCCCATAGACTCAACACTGCTACCCATAGACTCAACACTGCCACCCATAGACTCAACACTGCCACCCATAGACTCAACACTGCCACCCATAGACTCAACATTGCTACCCATAGACTCAACACTGCACCATAGACTCAACACTGCACCATAGACTCAACACTGCACCATAGACTCAACACTGCTACCCATAGACTCAACACTGCCCCATAGACTCAACACTGCTACCCATAGACTCAACACTGCTACCCATAGACTCAACACTGCTACTCATAGACTCAACACTGCCCCATAGACTCAACACTGCTACCCATAAACTCAACACTGCCACCCATAGACTCAACACTGCCCCATAGACTCAACACTGCCACCCATAGACTCAACACTGCCCCATAGACTCAACACTGCTACCCATAAACTCAACACTGCCACCCATAGACTCATCACTGCCCCATAGACTCAACACTGCCACCCATAGACTCAACACTGCCACCCATAGACTCAACACTGCCACCCATAGACTCAACACTGCCCCATAGACTCAACACTGCCCCATAGACTCAACACTGCCACCCATAGACTCAACACTGCACCATAGACTCAGCACTGCACCATAGACTCAACACTGCCCCATAGACTCAACACTGCCACCCATAGACTCAACACTGCTACCCATAGACTCAACACTGCACCATAGACTCAGCACTGCCACCCATAGACTCAACACTGTCACCCATAGACTCAACACTGCTACCCATAGACTCAACACTGATACCCATAGACTCAACACTACCCATAGACTCATCACTGTCACCCATAGACTCAACACTGCTACCCATAGACTCAACACTGCCACCCATAGACTCAACACTGCTACCCATAGACTCAACACTGCTACCCATAGACTCAACACTGCCACCCATAGACTCAACACTGCTACCCCTAGACTCAACACTGCCCCATAGACTCAACACTGCTACCCATAGACTCAACACTGCCACCCATAGACTCAACACTGCCACCCATAGACTCAACACTGCCACCCATAGACTCAACATTGCTACCCATAGACTCAACACTGCACCATAGACTCAACACTGCACCATAGACTCAACACTGCACCATAGACTCAACACTGCTACCCATAGACTCAACACTGCCCCATAGACTCAACACTGCTACCCATAGACTCAACACTGCTACCCATAGACTCAACACTGCTACTCATAGACTCAACACTGCCCCATAGACTCAACACTGCTACCCATAAACTCAACACTGCCACCCATAGACTCAACACTGCCCCATAGACTCAACACTGCCACCCATAGACTCAACACTGCCCCATAGACTCAACACTGCTACCTATAGACTCAGCACTGCCACCCATAGACTCATCACTGTCACCCATAGACTCAGCACTGTCACCCATAGACTCAACACTGCCACCCATAGACTCAACACTGTCACCCATAGACTCAGCACTGCCACTCATAGACTCAGCACTGCCACCCATAGACTCAACACTGCCACCCATAGACTCAACACTGCCATCCATAGACTCAACACTGCCACCCATAGACTCAACACTGCCACCCATAGACTCAGCACTGCCACCCATAGACTCAACACTGCCATCCATAGACTCAACACTGCTACCCATAGACTCAACACTGCCACCCATAGACTCAACACTGCCACCCATAGACTCAGCACTGCTACCCATAGACTCAACACTGCCACCCATAGACTCAACACTGCCACCCATAGACTCAACACTGCTACCCATAGACTCAACACTGCCACCCATAGACTCATTGCCCTATAGACTCAACACTGCCACCCATACACTCAACACTGCCCCATAGACTCAACACTGCTACCCATAGACTCAACACTGCCACCCATAGACTCAACACTGCCCCATAGACTCAACACTGCCCCATAGACTCAACACTGCCACCCATAGACTCAACACTGCCACCCATAGACTCAACACTGCCACCCATAGACTCAGCACTGCTACCCATAGACTCAACACTGCCACCCATAGACTCAGCACTGCCACCCATAGACTCAACACTGCCATCCATAGACTCAACACTGCTACCCATAGACTCAACACTGCCACCCATAGACTCAACACTGCCACCCATAGACTCAGCACTGCCACCCATAGACTCAACACTGCCATCCATAGACTCAACACTGCCACCCATAGACTCAACACTGCCACCCATAGACTCAACACTGCCACCCATAGACTCAACACTACCACCCATAGACTCAACACTGCCCCATAGACTCAACACTGCCACCCATAGACTCAACACTGCTACCCATAGACTCAACACTGCCACCCATAGACTCAACACTGCCACCCATAGACTCAACACTGCTACCCATAGACTCAACACTGCACCATAGACTCAACACTGCACCATAGACTCAACACTGCACCATAGACTCAACACTGCTACCCATAGACTCAACACTGCCCCATAGACTCAACACTGCTACCCATAGACTCAACACTGCCCCATAGACTCAACACTGCCACCCATAGACTCAACACTGCCACCCATAGACTCAACACTGCTACCCATAGACTCAACACTGCCCATAGACTCAACACTGCTACCCATAGACTCAACACCGCCACCCTAGACTCAACACTGCCCCATAGACTCAACACTGCCCCATAGACTCAACACTACCCATAGACTCAACACTGCTACCCATAGACTCAACACTGCTACCCATAGACTCAACACTGCCACCCATAGACTCAACACTCACCCATAGACTCAACACTGCCCATAGACTCAACACTACCCATAGACTCAACACTGCTACCCATAGACTCAACACTGCTACCCATAGACTCAACACTGCTACCCATAGACTCAACACTGCCACCCATAGACTCAACACTGCCACCCATAGACTCAACACTGCCCCATAGACTCAACACTGCCCTATAGACTCAACACTGCTACCCATAGACTCAACATTGCCACCCATAGACTCAACATTGCCCCATAGACTCAACACTGCCCCATAGACTCAACACTGCCACCCATAGACTCAACACTGCCACCCATAGACTCAACACTGCTACCCATAGACTCAACACTGCTACCCATAGACTCAACACTGCCACCCATAGACTCAACACTGCCACCCATAGACTCAACACTGCCCTTTAGACTCAACACTGCCACCATAGACTCAACACTGCTACCCATAGACTCAACACTGCTACCCATAGACTCAACACCGCCACCCTAGACTCAACACTGCCCCATAGACTCAACACTGCCACCCATAGACTCAACACTGCCCCATAGACTCAACATTGCTACCCATAGACTCAACACTGCCCCATAGACTCAACACTGCCACCCATAGACTCAACACTGTCACGCATAAACTCAACACTGTCACGCATAGACTCAACACTGCCCCATAGACTCATCACTGCTACCCATAGACTCAACACTGCTACCCATAGACTCAACACTGCTACCCATAGACTCAACACTGCTAACCCATAGACTCAACACTGCCACCCATAGACTCAACATTGCCCCATAGACTCAACACTGCCACCCATAGACTCAACACTGCTACCCATAGACTCAACACTGCTACCCATAGACTCAACATTGCCCCATAGACTCAACACTGCTACCCATAGACTCAACATTGCCCCATAGACTCAACACTGCCCCATAGACTCAACACTGCTACCCATAGACTCAACACTGCACTATAGACTCAGCACTGCACCATAGACTCAACACTGCCACCCATAGACTCAACACTGCCACCCATAGACTCAACACTGCTACCCATAGACTCAACACTGCTACCCATAGACTCAACACTGCCACCCATAGACTCAACACTGTCACCCATAGACTCAACACTGCCACCCATAGACTCAACACTGCTACCCATAGACTCAACACTGCTACCCATAGACTCAACACTGCCACCCATAGACTCAACACTGCTACCCATAGACTCAACACTGGTCCATAGACTCAGCACTGTCATAGACTCAACACTGCTACCCATAGACTCAACACTGCTACCCATAGACTCAACACTGCCCCATAGACTCAACACTGCTACCCATAGACTCAACACTGCACTATAGACTCAGCACTGCACCATAGACTCAACACTGCCACCCATAGACTCAACACTGCCACCCATAGACTCAACACTGCTACCCATAGACTCAACACTGCTACCCATAGACTCAACACTGCCACCCATAGACTCAACACTGCTACCCATAGACTCAACACTGGTCCATAGACTCAGCACTGTCATAGACTCAACACTGCTACCCATAGACTCAACACTGCTACCCATAGACTCAACACTGGTCCATAGACTCAGCACTGTCATAGACTCAACACTGCCACCCATAGACTCAACACTGCCACCCATAGACTCAACACTGCTACCCATAGACTCAACACTGCCACCCACATAGACACGCACTGTCACCCATAGACTCAACACTGCTACCCATAGACTCAACACTGCTACCCATAGACTCAACACTGCCCCATAGACTCAACACTGCTACCCATAGACTCAGCACTGCCACCCAAATAGACACAATTTGTATTTGTGTAACTTTATTGGCAATAGCATAATGAACGGCTGATTAATAACACAACACAAGCAAGATAAAGCTTGGCTCAGACACACACACACAGATACACCTAGTGTCTGTGTACAACTCTCTCTGGATACCAGTGTATGCATCTCTATATACCGTGTGGAAGTATCTGTATGTACATCTCTATATATATACCAGCGTGTGTGTATCTCTGTGTGTATCTCAGTATGCCAGAGTTGTGTATATCTCTTATCTCTATGTGTCTCTATATATACCAGTGTGTCTGTGTGTGTATCTCTGTGTGTGTATCTCTGTGTGTGTATCTCAGTGTGAGTTATGTATATCTCTTATCTCTATATGTCTCTCTATATATATACCAGTGTGTGTCTGTGTGTGTGTATCTCTGTGTGTATCTCAGTATGAGTTGTGTATATCTCTTATCTCTATATGTCTCTATATATATACCAGTGTGTGTGTATCTCTGTGTGTATCTCAGTATGAGTTGTGTATATCTCTTATCTCTGTCTCTCTCTATATATACCAGTGTGTGTGTATCTCAGTATGTGAGTTGTCTATATCTATCTCTATATGTCTCTCTATATATACCAGCATGTGTGTGTATCTCTGTGTGTATCTCAGTATGAGTTGTGTATATCTCTTATCTCTATATGTCTCTATATATATACCAGTGTATGTGTATCTCTGTGTGTATCTCAGTATGAGTTGTGTATATCTCTTATCTCTATATGTCTCTATATATATACCAGTGTGTGTGTATCTCTGTGTGTATCTCAGTATGAGTTGTGTATATCTCTTATCTCTGTCTCTCTCTATATATACCAGTGTGTGTGTATCTCAGTATGTGAGTTGTCTATATCTATCTCTATATGTCTCTCTATATATACCAGCATGTGTGTGTATCTCTGTGTGTGTATCTCTGTGTGTGTATCTCAGTATACCAGTGTGAGTTATGTATATCTCTTATCTATATATATGTCTCTATATATATCAGTGTGTGTATGTGTATCTCTGTGTGTGTATCTCAGTATGCCAGAGTTATGTATATCTCTTATCTATATATATGTCTCTCTATATATATACACCAGTGTGTGTATCTCTGTGTGTATCTCTGTGTGTGTATCTCAGTGTGAGTTGTGTATATCTCTTATCTCTATATGTCTATATATATACCAGTGTGTGTGTGTATCTCAGTATGCCAGAGTTATGTATATCTCTTATCTCTATATGTCTCTATATATACCAGTGTGTGTCTGTGTGTGTATCTCTGTGTGTGTATCTCAGTGTGAGCTATGTATATCTCTTATCTATATATATGTCTCTCTATATATATACGTGTCTGTGTGTGTATCTCAGTGTGAGTTGTGTATATCTCTTATCTCTATATGTCTCTATATATATACCAGCGTGTGTCTGTGTGTGTATCTCTGTGTGTGTATCTCAGTATACCAGTGTGAGTTATGTATATCTCTTATCTATATATATCTCTCTATATATACCTGTGTGTGTGTCTCTGTGTGTGTATCTCTGTGTGTATCTCTGTGTGTGTATCTCAGTATACCAGTGTGAGCTATGTATATCTCTTATCTCTATATATGTCTCTATATATACCAGTGTGTGTCTGTGTGTGTGTATCTCTGTGTGTGTATCTCAGTATCTCAGTGTGAGCTATGTATATCTCTTATCTATATATCTATATATATACCAGTGTGTGTCTGTGTGTGTGTGTATCTCTGTGTGTGTATCTCAGTATCTCAGTGTGAGCTATGTATATCTCTTATCTATATATATGTCTCTCTATATATACCAGTGTGTGTGTCTCTGTGTGTGTATCTCTGTGTGTGTATCTCAGTATGTGAGTTGTGTATATCTCTTATCTCTATATGTCTCTATATATACCAGCGTGTGTCTGTGTGTGTATCTCTGTGTGTGTATCTCTGTGTGTGTATCTCAGTATACCAGTGTGAGTTATGTATATCTCTTATCTATATATGTCTATATATACCAGTGTGTGTATCTCAGTGTATCTCAGTATGTGAGTTGTGTATATCTCTTATCTCTATATGTCTCTCTATATATATACCAGTGTGTGTGTGTATCTCTGTGTGTGTATCTCAGTATGCCAGAGTTATGTATATCTCTTATCTATATATATGTCTCTATATATATACCAGTGTGTGTATCTCTGTGTGTGTATCTCAGTGAGTTGTGTATATCTCTTATCTATATATGTCTCTCTATATATATACCAGTGTGTGTATCTCTGTGTGTGTATCTCAGTGAGTTATGTATATCTCTTATCTATATATATGCCTCTCTCTATATATAGTAGCGAGGTGCATCTACAGCGGTGATCATATTTCAGTGCAAAAACCCCGCCCCGGTTCAACGCAAAATCCGACGCCGGTATTCTTCTTCATCGAGATGCTTTTCGCTAAAGTCACCGCCACGTTAGAAGAAGGGAAACAATAAAATAAAAAATAAAATAAAAATATAAACCAATAAAATATTTTAATGTTTTTTATTGTTTTTTTTTAAACTAATTTATCGTTTTATATTTTTTTTATTTGTTATTTTATTGTTTCCCTTCTTCTAACGTGGTGGCGGCGACTTTTTGCCGAAAGAACCGAGAATAGGAATCTCTGCAGTCACGAAAGCTTTAAATCAAAAGTCAAAGTTCATGCCGTTTCATTGGTGACCTAGCGAGGCCTAAGCAAGGCCTCGCTAGGTCTCACTAGGCCTAGTTTGGCCTATCTAGGCCTCGCGAGGCCTAAGCAACGCCTTGCTTAGGCCTTGCTTAGGCCTCGCTAGGTCTCACTAGGCCTAGTTTGGCCTATCTAGGCCTCGCGAGGCCTAAGCAAGGCCTTCGCTAGGTCTCACTAGGCCTAGTTTGGCCTATCTAGGCCTCGCGAGGCCTAAGCAAGGCCTTGCTTAGGCCTTGCTAGGTCTCACTAGGCCTAGTTTGGCCTATTCGCGAGGCCTAAGCAAGGCCTTGCGAGGCCTTGCTTAGGCCTTGCTAGGTCTCACTGTGCCTAGTTTGGCCTATCTAGGCCTCGTAAGGCCTAAGCAAGGCCTTGCGAGGCCCAGATAGGCCAAAGTAGGCCTAGCGAGGCCTTGTTTAGACCTAGCGAGGCCTACTTTAGGCCTTGTGAGGCCTAGATAGGCCAAACTAGGCCTAGCGAGACCTATCGAGGCCTAATTTAGGCCTCGTGAGGCCTAGATAGGCCAAACTAGGCCTAGCGAGACCTAGTTTAGGCCTAGCGAGGCCTTGCTTAGGCCTCGTGAGGCTTAGATAGGCCAAACTAGGCCTAGTGAGACCTAGTTTAGGCCTTACGAGGCCTAGATAGGCCAAACTAGGCCTAGTGAGACCTAGCGAGGCCTAGTGTAGGCCTAGATAGGCCAAACTAGGCCTAGTGAGACCTAGCGAGGCCTAGTTTAGGCCTAGATAGGCCAAACTAGGCCTAGTGAGACCTAGCGAGGCCTAGTTTGGGCCTTGCGAGGCCTAGATAGGCCAAACTAGGCCTATTGAGACCTAGCGAGGCCTAGTTTAGGCCTAGATAGGCCAAACTAGGCCTATTGAGACCTAGCGAGGCCTAGTGAGACCTAGCGAGGCTTAGCGAGGCCTTGTGAGGCCTACAGGAGCCTTGCAAGGCCTCACTAGGCCGGGCCCCCTGCGGGCAACCCAAGTACATTTTTTTACATAAGCGACAAACTCTCACAACCTAGTGTTTTTTTTATTTCATCACGACCTTGTCATGGTCTCCGAGGGATTGGAGACCTTTTAGTTCGACTTAACGCATAATTAAACCTCAGGTGTAACGGGCGGGCTTTGGCGAAGACCTAGCAGGGGATCTAGAGAAGTCTAACCTAGCATCAAGAGGCCTAGACAAGCCTGACCTAGCCTAGCCTGAAGAGGCCTAGAGAAGCCTGACCTAGCCTAGAGAAGCCTGACCTAGCCTAGCCTGAAGAGGCCTAGAGAAGCCTAGCCTAGCCTGAAGAGGCCTAGAGAAGCCTGACCTAGCCTAGCCTCAAGAGACCTAGAGAAGCCTGACCTAGCATAGCCTGAAGAGGCCTAGAGAAGCCTGACCTAGCCTGAAGAGGCCTAGAGAGGCCTGACCTAGCCTAGCCTGAAGAGGCCTAGAGAAGCCTGACCTAGCCTAGCCTCAAGAGACCTAAAGAAGCCTGACCTAGCCTAGCCTGAAGAGGCCTAGAGAAGCCTGACCTAGCCTGAAGAGGCCTAGAGAAGCCTGACCTAGCCTAGCCTGAAGAGGCCTAGAGAAGGCTGAACTAGCCTGAAGAGGCCTAGAGAAGCCTGACCTAGCCTGAAGAGGCCTAGAGAAGCCTGACCTAGCCTAGAGGCCTAGAGAAGCCTGACCTAGCCTAGCCTGAAGAGGCCTTAGAGAAGCCTGACCTAGCCTAGCCTGAAGAGGCTTAGAGAAGCCTGACCTAGCCTAGCCTGAAGAGGCCTAGAGAAGCCTGACCTAGCCTAGCCTCAAGAGACCTAGAGAAGCCTGACCTAGCCTAGCCTGAAGAGGCCTAGAGAAGCCTGACATAGCCTGAAGAGGCCTAGAGAAGCCTGACCTAGCCTAGAGAAGCCTGACCTAGCCTAGAGAAGCCTGACCTAGCCTAGCCTGAAGAGGCCTAGAGAGACCTGACCTGACCTAGCCTGAAGAGGCCTAGAGAGACCTGACCTAGCCTAGCCTGAAGAGGCCTAGAGAAGCCTGACCTAGCCTAGAGGCCTAGAGAAGCCTGACCTAGCCTAGCCTGAAGAGGCCTAGAGAAGCCTGACCTAGCCTAGCCTGGAGAGGCCTAGAGAAGCCTGAAGAGGCCTATAGAAGCCTGACCTAGCCTAGCTTGGAGAGGCTTAGAGAAGGCTGACCTAGCCTAGAGGCCTAGAGAAGCCTGACCTAGCCTAGCCTGAAGAGGCCTAGAGAAGCTTAGCCTAGCCTAGCGGCCTAGAGAAGCCTGACCTAGCCTAGCGGCCTAGAGAAGCCTGACCTAGCCTAGCCTGGAGGCCTAGAGAAGCCTGACCTAGCCTGAAGAGGCCTAGAGAAGCCTGACCTAGCCTGGCGGCCTAGAGAAGCCTGACCTAGCCTAGCCTGGAGGCCTAGAGAAGCCTGACCTAGCCTGGAGAGGCCTAGAGAAGCCTGACCTAGCCTAGCCTGGAGGCCTAGAGAAGCCTGACCTAGCCTAGCCTCAAGAGGCCTAGAGAAGCCTGACCTAGCCTGAAGAGACCTAGAGAAGCCTGACCTAGCCTAGAGGCCTAGAGAAGCCTGACCTAGCCTAGCCTGAAGAGGCTTTAGAGAAGCCTGACCTAGCCTAGCCTGAAGAGGCCTTAGAGAAGCCTGACCTAGCCTAGCCTGAAGAGGCCTAGAGAAGCCTGACCTAGCCTAGCCTGAAGAGGCCTAGAGAAGCCTGACCTAGCCTAGAGGCCTAGAGAAGCCTGACCTAGCCTAGCCTGGAGGCCTAGAGAAGCCTGACCTAGCCTAGCCTGGAGGCCTAGAGAAGCCTAGCCTAGCCTGGAGGCCTGGAGAAGCCTGACCTAGCCTAGCGGCCTAGAGAAGCCTGACCTAGCCTAGCCTGGAGGCCTAGAGAAGCCTGACCTAGCCTAGCCTGGAGGCCTAGAGAAGCCTGACCTAGCCTAGCCTGGAGGCCTAGAGAAGCCTGACCTAGCCTAGCCTGGAGGCCTAGAGAAGCCTGACCTAGCCTGGAGAGGCCTTAGAGGCCTAGAGAAGCCTGACCTAGCCTAGCCTGAAGAGGCCTAGAGAAGCCTGACCTAGCCTAGCCTGGAGGCCTAGAGAAGCCTGACCTAGCCTAGCCTGGAGGCCTAGAGAAGCCTGACCTAGCCTAGCCTGGAGGCCTAGAGAAGCCTGACCTAGCCTAGCCTGAAGAGGCCTAGAGAAGCCTGACCTAGCCTAGCCTGGAGGCCTAGAGAAGCCTGACCTAGCCTGGAGAGGCCTTAGAGGCCTACTTTGTCCTGCAGAGACCCAGCGAGGAAGCAGGCAAACACTACATAGCTAACCGGACGTCACTTAGCCTCATTATAACACACCGATTCAGAAATAACGCATCATTAACCCGAATTAACACGGAGGTCGTGTGAAGCCTAATTAACGCTCAGACCTCTCCCCACCCTGAGCCACCCATCCCACGGTGACCCACCAACCCCTAGCGAGCGAGCGTGGCTATCAGACTCCCTCCCTCCCATCCCACCGTGAACCACCAACCCCGAGCGAGCGAGCGTGGCTATGAGGCTCCCTCCCTCCCATCCCACCGTGACCCACCAACCCTAGCGGGCGAGCGTGGCTATGAGGCTGGCTCCCTCCCCCTCCCTCATCCCACGGTGACCCACCAACCCCTAACGTGTGAGTGTGGCGATGAGACCCCATCCCTCCCCCTCCTACCCATCCCACGGTGACTCACCAACCCCTAACGGGCGAGCGTGGCGATGAGGCTCCCTCCCTCCCCCTCCCTCCCACCCATCCCACCGTGACCCACCAACCCCTAGCGGGCGTGGCTATCAGACTCACCCACCCACCCATCCCACGGTGACCCACCAACCCCTAGCGTGCGAGTGTGGCGATGAGGCTCCCTCCCACCCACCCATCCCACCGTGACCCACCAACCCCTAGCGTGCCAGTGTGGCTATGAGGCTCCCTCCCACCCATCCCACCCATCCCACGGTGACCCACCAACCCCTAGCGTGCCAGTGTGGCTATGAGGCTTCCTCCCACCCACCCACCCATCCCACCGTGACCCACCAACCCCTAGTGGGCGTGGCTATGAGGCCCCCTCCCACCCACCCACCCACCCATCCCACGGTGACCCACCAACCCTAGCGTGCCAGTGTGGCTATGAGGCTCCCACCCATCCCACGGTGACCCACCAACCCACCCACCCCACCGTGACCCACCAACCCACCCATCCCACCGTGACCCACCAACCCTAGCGTGCCAGTGTGGCTATGAGGCTCCCACCCATCCCACGGTGACCCACCCACCCACCCATCCCACCGTGACCCACCAACCCACCCATCCCACCGTGACCCACCAACCCCTAGCGTGCCAGTGTGGCTATGAGGCTCCCACCCATCCCACGGTGACCCACCAACCCTAGCGTGCCAGTGTGGCTATGAGGCTCCCACCCACCCATCCCACCGTGACCCACCAACCCTAGCGTGCCAGTGTGGCTATGAGGCTCCCACCCATCCCACGGTGACCCACCAACCCTAGCGTGCCAGTGTGGCTATGAGGCTCCCACCCATCCCACGGTGACCCACCAACCCTAGCGTGCCAGTGTGGCTATGAGGCTCCCTCCCTCCCCCACCCACCCACCCATCCCACGGTGACCCACCAACCCACCCACCCATCCCACCGTGACCCACCAACCCCTAGTGGGCGTGGCTATGAGGCCCCCTCCCACCCACCCACCCATCCCACGGTGACCCACCAACCCTAGCGTGCCAGTGTGGCTATGAGGCTCCCACCCATCCCACGGTGACCCACCAACCCACCCACCCCACCGTGACCCACCAACCCACCCATCCCACCGTGACCCACCCACCCACCCATCCCACGGTGACCCACCAACCCTAGCGTGCCAGTGTGGCTATGAGGCTCCCACCCATCCCACGGTGACCCACCCACCCACCCATCCCACCGTGACCCACCAACCCACCCATCCCACCGTGACCCACCAACCCCTAGCGTGCCAGTGTGGCTATGAGGCTCCCACCCATCCCACGGTGACCCACCAACCCTAGCGTGCCAGTGTGGCTATGAGGCTCCCACCCACCCATCCCACCGTGACCCACCAACCCTAGCGTGCCAGTGTGGCTATGAGGCTCCCACCCATCCCACGGTGACCCACCAACCCTAGCGTGCCAGTGTGGCTATGAGGCTCCCACCCATCCCACGGTGACCCACCAACCCTAGCGTGCCAGTGTGGCTATGAGGCTCCCTCCCTCCCCCACCCACCCACCCATCCCACGGTGACCCACCAACCCACCCACCCATCCCACGGTGACCCACCAACCCCTAGCGTGCCAGTGTGGCTATGAGGCTCCCTCCCTCCCCCTCCCACCCACCCATCCCACGGTGACCCACCAACCCTAGCGTGCCAGTGTGGCTATGAGGCTCCCACCCATCCCACGGTGACCCACCAACCCATCCCTCCCTCCCCCACCCACCCACCCATCCCACCGTGACCCACCAACCCCTAGCGTGCCAGTGTGGCTATGAGGCCCCCTCCCACCCACCCACCCATCCCACTGTGACCCACCAACCCACCCATCCCACGGTGACCCACCAACCCTAGCGTGCCAGTGTGGCTATGAGGCCCCCTCCCACCCACCCATCCCACGGTGACCCACCCACCCATCCCACGGTGACCCACCAACCCACCCATCCCACGGTGACCCACCAACCCTAGCGTGCCAGTGTGGCTATGAGGCTCCCACCCATCCCACGGTGACCCACCAACCCACCAACCCACCCATCCCACGGTGACCCACCAACCCACCAACCCACCCATCCCACGGTGACCCACCAACCCACCCATCCCCCGGTGACCCACCAACCCTAGCGTGCCAGTGTGGCTATGAGGCTCCCACCCATCCCACGGTGACCCACCAACCCACCAACCCACCCATCCCACGGTGACCCACCCACCCACCAACCCACCCATCCCACGGTGACCCACCAACCCACCCACCCATCCCACGGTGACCCACCAACCCCTAGCGTGCCAGTGTGGCTATGAGGCTCCCACCCATCCCACGGTGACCCACCAACCCTAGCGTGCCAGTGTGGCTATGAGGCTCCCACCCATCCCACGGTGACCCACCAACCCACCAACCCACCCATCCCACGGTGACCCACCAACCCACCAACCCACCCATCCCACGGTGACCCACCAACCCACCCATCCCACGGTGACCCACCAACCCTAGCGTGCCAGTGTGGCTATGAGGCTGCCACCCACCCACCCCACCGTGACCCACCAACCCATCCCACGGTGACCCACCCACCCACCAACCCACCCATCCCACGGTGACCCACCAACCCTAGCGTGCCAGTGTGGCTATGAGGCTCCCACCCACCCACCCATCCCACGGTGACCCACCAACCCACCCACCCATCCCACCGTGACCCACCAACCCACCCACCCATCCCACCGTGACCCACCAACCCTAGCGTGCCAGTGTGGCTATGAGGCCCCCTCCCACCCACCCATCCCACGGTGACCCACCAACCCACCAACCCACCCATCCCACCGTGACCCACCAACCCCTAGCGTGCCAGTGTGGCTATGAGGCTCCCACCCACCCATCCCACGGTGACCCACCAACCCACCCACCCACCCATCCCACGGTGACCCACCAACCCTAGCGTGCCAGTGTGGCTATGAGGCTCCCACCCACCCACCCATCCCACGGTGACCCACCAACCCACCAACCCACCCATCCCACCGTGACCCACCAACCCTAGCGTGCCAGTGTGGCTATGAGGCTCCCACCCATCCCACCGTGACCCACCAACCCCTAGCGTGCCAGTGTGGCTATGAGGCTCCCACCCACCCACCCATCCCACCGTGACCCACCAACCCCTAGTGGGCGTGGCTATCAGACCCACCCACCCATCCCACGGTGACCCACCAACCCTAACGTGCCAGTGTGGCTATGAGGCTCCCACCCATCCCATCCCACCGTGACCCACCAACCCACCCACCCACCCATCCCACGGTGACCCACCCATCCCACGGTGACCCACCAACCCTAGCGTGCCAGTGTGGCTATGAGGCTCCCACCCATCCCACGGTGACCCACCAACCCACCAACCCACCCATCCCACGGTGACCCACCAACCCACCAACCCACCCATCCCACGGTGACCCACCAACCCACCAACCCACCCATCCCACGGTGACCCACCAACCCACCAACCCACCCATCCCACCGTGACCCACCCACCCATCCCACGGTGACCCACCAACCCCTAGCGTGCCAGTGTGGCTATGAGGCTCGCGCACATCTCAAAGAACTCCATTGTTGTACTGCCGGGACGTGCACCGCACGTGGGTTGGTGAGCCACGCCCCCTCCCCAAGCCCCGCCCCCTCCCCAAGCCCCGCCCCCTCCCCAGGCCCCGCCCCCAGGCCTGGCCACGCCCCCGGCCACGCCCCCCGGGACAGGGATTGGTGCTGTGGTGGAGGCGGTGGAGGCGGTGGTGGAGGTGGAGGCGGTGGAGGCGGTGGTGGAGGTGGAGGCGGTGGAGGCGGTGGAGGCGGAGGCGGTGGAGCGCTGAGGGGTGGAGGAGCCAGAACGGTGTTCTCCATCGTCTGTGGCGTTCAGGGGAGTGGGGAGTGGGGGGGAGAGAGGCATCAAGGGAAGTTTGTGACTCACACAACCACTAGGTGATGGTGGTGGTGATGATGGTGGTGGTGGTGATGGTGGTGGTGGTGATGGTGGTGATGGTGGTGGTGATGGTGATGGTGGTGATGGTGGTGGTGGTGATGGTGGTGGTGGTGGTGATGGTGGTGGTGGTGGTGATGGTGGTGGTGATGGTGGTGGTGATGGTGGTGGTGGTGGTGATGGTGGTGGTGATGGTGGTAGTGATGGTGATGGTGGTGGTGATGGTGATGGTGGTGGTGGTGGTGGTGATGGTGATGGTGGTGGTGATGGTGATGGTGGTGATGGTGGTGGTGATGGTGGTGGTGGTGGTGGTGATGGTGGTGATGATGGTGGTAGTGATGGTGGTGGTGATGGTGGTGGTGGTGGTGGTGATGATGATGATGGTGGTGGTGGTGGTGGTGATGGTGGTGGTGATGGTGGTGGTGAAAGTGGTGATAGTGATGGTGGTGTTGGTGGTGATGTTGATGAAGATGTTGATGATGAAGCTGATGATGATGTTGATGATGATGATGTTGATGATGAAGATGATGAAGATGATGGTGATATTGATGATGATGTTGATGATGACGATGATGCTGAAGATGATGGTGATGTTGATGATGATGTTGATGAAGATGTTGATGATGAAGCTGATGATGATGTTGATGAAGATGTTGATGAAGCTGATGATGATGTTGATGATGAAGATGATGATGGTGATGATGATGATGATGTTGATGATGATGAAGATGATGGTGATGTTGATGGTGATGTTGATGACGATGATAGAGATATGATAATGTTGATGATGATGATGTTGATGATGATGAAGATGTTGGTGATGTTGATGATGATGTTGATGAAGATGATGATGTTGATGAAGATGTTGATGATATTGATGTTGATGAAGATGATGATGGTGATGTTGATGATGATGAAGATGTTGGTGATGTTGATGATGATGTTGATGAAGATGATGATGTTGATGAAGATGTTGATGATATTGATGTTGATGAAGATGATGATGGTGATGTTGATGATGGTGAAGATGAAGATGATGTTGATGATGATGTTGATGATGAAGCTGATGATGATTAAGATGATGGTGATGTTGATGAAGATGATGTTGATGAAGATGATGTTGATGATGATGATGATGTTGATGATGATGTTGATGAAGATGATGGTGATGTTGATGATGATGACGATAGAGATATGATGATGTTGATGAAGATGTTGATGATGATGTTGATGATATTGATGTTGATGATGAAGATGATGGTGATGATGATGATGAAGATGATAAAGATGTTGATGGTGATGTTGATTATGATGTTGATGATGGTGAAGATGATGATGATGTTGATGATGATGTTGATGATGAAGATGATGAAGATGATGGTGAAGATGATGGTGAAGATGATGGTGATGATGATGTTGATGATGATGTTGATGATGTTGATGGTGATATTGATGTTGATGAAGATGATGATGATGAAGATGATGGTGATGTTCATGAAGATGTTGATGTTGATGATGGTGAAGATGTTGATGTTGATGATGTTGATGGTGATATTGATGTTGATGAAGATGATGATGGTGAAGATGATGGTGATGATGATGATGATGATGGTGAAGATGATGGTGATGATGATGTTGATGATGATGTTGATGTGGATGATGATGATGATGGTGATGAAGATGTTGATGATGACGATATTGATGATGATGATAGAGAAATGATGATGATGTTGATGATGGTGATGTTGATGATGATGTTGATGGTGATGTTGATGAAGATGATGATGTTGATGATGATGTTGATGATGGTGAAGATGATGATGATGATGTTGATGATGATGTTGATGATGATGAAGATGATGATGAAGATGATGATGTTGATGATGATGTTGATGATGATGATGAAGATGATGATGAAGATGATGATGTTGATGATGATGATGACGATGATAAAGATGTTGATGGTGATGTTGATGATGAAGATGATGATGAAGATGATGATGTTGATGGTGATGTTGATGAAGATGTTGATGATGATGATGTTGATGATGATGGTGATGTTGATGATGTTGATGATGATGGTGTTGATGTTGATGATGATGAAGATGATGAAGCTGATGATGATGTTGATGATGAAGATGATGGTGATGATGAAGATGTTGATGATGATGATGTTGATGATGAAGATGATGGTGATGATGATGCTGATGGTGGTGATTGCGATGATGGTAATGATGGTGATGGTGGTGATGATGGTGATGGTGATGATGGTGGTGATGATGATGGTGATGTTGATGAAGATGTTGATGATGATGGTGAAGATGTTGATGTTGATGATGGTGAAGATGGTGATGTTGATGATGTTGATGTTGATGAAGATGTTGATGATGTTGATGATGATGTTGATGATGATGATGTTGATGATGTTGATGAAGATGATGATGATGGTGAAGATGATGATGATGGTGAAGATGATGATGTTGATGATGGTGAAGATGGTGATGTTGATGATGTTGATGATGATGATGTTGATGATGATGTTGATGATGATGATGTTGATGTTGATGAACATGTTGATGATGATGATGTTGATGTTGATGATGATGTTGATGATGTTGATGTTGATGAAGATGATGATGTTGATGATGATGATGTTGTTGATGTTGATGATGGTGAAGATGATGATGTTGATGATGATGTTGATGAAGATGATGAAGATGTTGATGATGATGTTGATGATGATGAACATGTTGATGATGATGGTGATGTTGATGAAGATGATGAAGATGATGTTGATGATGTTGATGAAGATGTTGATGAAGATGTTGATGAAGATGTTGATGTTGATGATGATGTTGATGATGATGTTGATGTTGTTGATGTTGATGAAGATGTTGATGTTGATGATGATGTTGATGAACATGTTGTTGATGATGTTGATGATGATGTTGATGATGATGTTGATGAACATGTTGTTGATGATGTTGATGATGATGTTGATGTTGATGATGTTGATGAACATGTTGTTGATGATGTTGATGAACATGTTGATGATGATGATGTTGATGAACATGTTGATGTTGTTGTTGATGATGATGTTGATGTTGATGAACATGTTGTTGATGATGTTGATGAACATGTTGATGATAATGTTGATGAACATGTTGATGATGATGTTGATGTTGATGATGTTGATGAACATGATGATGATGATGATGAAGATGTTGTTGTTGATGTTGATGAACATGATGTTGATGATGTTGATGTTGATGAACATGATGTTGATGATGTTGATGATGATGGTCATGTTGATGATGTTGATGAACATGTTGTTGATGATGTTGATGAACATGTTGATGAACATGTTGTTGATGATGTTGATGAACATGTTGATGAACATGTTGATGATGATGATGATGATGTTGATGAACATGTTGTTGATGATGTTGATGATGTTGATGAACATGTTGATGAACATGTTGTTGATGATGTTGATGATGTTGATGAACATGTTGATGAACATGTTGATGATGATGTTGATGATGTTGATGAACATGTTGATGAACATGTTGATGATGATGTTGATGATGTTGATGAACATGTTGTTGATGATGTTGATGATGTTGATGAACATGTTGATGAACATGTTGTTGATGATGTTGATGAACATGTTGATGAACATGTTGATGATGATGTTGATGATGTTGATGAACATGTTGTTGATGATGTTGATGAAGATGATGATGTTGATGAACATGATGTTGATGATGATGTTGATGAACATGTTGATGATGATGTTGATGAACCTTCTATGCTCTTGAAGTCCAGCAGATAGCTGGCGTCCACCTTGTAGAGCTGCAGACTCATCTTGACCCAGTTACCCGTCACAGAGTGGTGGTGACGCACACGCAGATGGAACGCGTTCACTACCTACACACACACAGACACACACAGTCACACACAGTCACACAGTCACACTTACACACACACACGCAGATGGAACGCGTTCACTACCTACACACACAGTCACACACAGTCACACTTACACACTTACACACACACAGTCACACGCAGATGGAACGCGTTCACTACCTACACACAGACACAGTCACACAGTCACACACAGTCACACCGTCACACTTACACACTTACACACACACAGTCACACGCAGATGGAACGCGTTCACTACCTACACACAGACACACACAGTCACACACAGTCACACACAGTCACACTTACACACACACACGCAGATGGAACGCGTTCACTACCTACACACAGACACACACAGTCACACACAGTCACACACAGTCACACTTACACAGTCACACACACTTACACACTTACACACTCACACACACAGTCACACAGACACACAGTCACACTTACACTTACACACTTACACTTACACACACTTACACTTACACACTTACACACAGTCACACACACAGACACACGCAGATGGAACGCGTTCACTACCTACACACAGACACAGTCACACAGTCACACACAGTCACACACAGTCACACTTACACACTTACACACACACAGTCACACGCAGATGGAACGCGTTCACTACCTACACACAGACACAGTCACACAGTCACACACAGTCACACACAGTCACACTTACACACTTACACACACACAGTCACACGCAGATGGAACGCGTTCACTACCTACACACACACAGACACACACAGTCACACACAGTCACACACAGTCACACTTACACAGTCACACACACTTACACACTTACACACTCACACACAGTCACACGCAGATGGAACGCGTTCACTACCTACACACACACAGACACACACAGTCACACTTACACACACACAGACACACACACACACAGACACACACAGTCACACTTACACACTTACACACACACACAGACACACAGACACACACTTACACTTACACACACATACATACACACACTTACACTTACACACACACACAGTCACACTTACATACACACACACACACAGATGGAACGCGTTCACTACCTACACAGTCACACACAGTCACACTTACACACTTACACACACACAGTCACACACACAGTCACACAGTCACACACACTTACACACTTACACACACTTACACACTTACACACACAGACACACTTACACACTTACACACACACAGTCACACGCAGATGGAACGCGTTCACTACCTACACACAGACACACACAGTCACACACAGTCACACACAGTCACACTTACACAGTCACACACACTTACACACTTACACACTCACACACAGTCACACGCAGATGGAACGCGTTCACTACCTACACACACACAGACACACACAGTCACACTTACACACACACACACACACAGACACACAGACACACACTTACACTTACACACACATACATACACACACTTACACTTACACACACACACAGTCACACTTACATACACACACACACGCAGATGGAACGCGTTCACTACCTACACACACACAGACACACTTACACACTTACACACACTTACACTTACACACAGTCACATACACAGTCACACAGTCACACACACTTACACACACTTACACACTTACATACACACACACTTACACACTTACATACACACAGTCACACAGACACACAGTCACACTTACATACACACACACGCAGATGGAACGCGTTCACTACCTACACACAGACACACACTCACACACTTACACACTTACACTTACACACACAGACACAGTCACACTTACACACTTACACAGTCACACACAGTCACACAGACACACACAGTCACACACACTTACACACACACACAGACACACACGCAGATGGAACGCGTTCACTACCTACACACACACACAGTCACACTTACACACTTACACTTACACACTTACACACACACTTACACACACACAGTCACACAGACACACAGTCACAGTCACACACACACACTTACACAGTCACACACAGTCACACACAGACACACACACAGTCACACGCAGATGGAACGCGTTCACTACCTACACACACACAAACAGACACACAGTCACACTTACACACACACACACTTACATATACACACTTACACAGACACACACACAGTCACACACACACAGACACAGACACACACACAGACACTTACATACACACTTACACTTACACACTTACACTTACACACACACACACTTACACACACACAGTCACACACACTTACACACTTACATACACACACAGTCACACACACACACTTACACACTTACATACACTCACACAGTCACACACAGACACACACAGACACACACGCAGATGGAACGCGTTCACTACCTACACACACAGTCACACACTTACACACTTACATACACACAGACACACACACAGACACAGTCACACTTACATACATACACACAGTCACACACACACACACACTTACATACACACACACTTAAATACACACACACACAGACACACACAGTCACACACAGACACACACACAGTCACACACACACACACACTTACACACAGACACACACACAGTCACACACACTTACACACAGACACACACACAGTCACACACACTTACACACACACTTACATACACACACACAGACACACACACAGACACACACACAGACACACACACACAGACACACACAGACACACACACAGACACAGACACACACACACAGTCACACACAGACACACAGTCACACACAGTCACACACACACAGTCACACACACAGAGTCACACACAGTCACACACAGACACACACACTTACACACACACACAGACACACACACACACACAGACACACACACACACAGACACACGCAGATGGAACGCATTCACTACACACACACACAGTCACATACACACAGTCACACACACTTACACACACACTTACAAACTTACATACACACACACTTACATACACATACACACACTTACATACACATACACACACACACAGACACACACACCCAGACACACACCCAGAGACACACACAAAGACACACACACAGACACACACACACAGTCACACACACACAGTCACACACACAGACACACACAGACACACACACACACACACAAAGACACACACACACAGACACACACACACACAGACACACACAGACACACACAGACAGCCACACACACACAGACAGACACACACACACAGACACACACAAAGACAAAGATCCCCCGTATAGCCTTAACAGACTGTAGGGGCAAGTGCTGTTAGCGAGCACCTATGAAGGCCGGAACGGTACACGAGGGGGTGGGTGGCCAGCACCACGCCCGACCGCCTTTGTCTCCCTAGTGACGATGTTTACTACACACCGCTACACCACTACACCACCACCACCACTACCACCACCACTACCACCACTACACCACCACCACCACTACACCACCACCACCACTACACCACCACCACTACCACCACCACTACACCACCACCACTACACCACCACCACTACACCACCACCACTACCACCACCACCACTACACCACCACCACTACACCACCACCACTACCACCACCACTACACCACCACCACTACACCACCACCACTACACCACCACCACTACACCACCACCACTACACCACCACCACTACACCACCACCACTACACCACCACCACCACTACACCACCACCACTACACCACCACCACTACACCACCACCACCACTACACCACCACCACCACTACACCACCACCACCACCACTACACCACTACTACTACACCACCACCACTACTACACCACCACCACTACTACACCATCACTACTACACCACCACTACACCACCACTACTACACCACCACCACTACTACACCACCATCACTACACCACCATCACCACTACACCACTACACCACCACCACTACACCACCACCACCACTACACCACCACCACTACACCACCACCACTACACCACCACCACTACACCACCACCACCACTACACCACCACTACACCACCACCACTACCACCACCACCACTACACCACTACCGCTACACAACCACCACTACACCACCACTACCGCTACACAACCACAACACCACACCACACACCACAACCACCCACACCCACCACACCAAACCACACCACACTACACCCCACACCCAACCACCACCACCACCATCACCACCACCACTACACCACCACTACTACACCACCACCACCCCATCCACCCACCCACCGTCACGTCCACCCACCATGTCCACCACCACATCCACCCACCCACCCACCACACCCACCACACCACACCACACCCACCACCACCCACCACACCACACCCACCCACCACCACGTCCACCACCACGTCCACCCACCACGTCCACCCACCACACAACCCCACCACATCCACCCCACCCACCCACCACACCCACCCACAACCACACCACACCCCACACCCACCCACCCACCACACCCACCACCACCCACCACACCAAACCACACCACACCAAACCACACCCATCCACCCACCCACACCCACCACCACCACCACCCACACCCACCCACCCACCTTCCACTGGTATCCCAGCTGGCACATGGCCCTGTACACCTCGGCCATGATGTCCAGCGGCCTACTCTGGCTTCGGATGCCGAGGTGCCACTTGGCCTTCTTTAGGGCCTGAGGCTTGGGCCTGTGCGTGGCGTGGAGGGCGTCCAGCGGCCTCTTGTGCAGCTGGGGCACTGCTGCAGCTGCTGATGCAGCCGCTGATGCAGCCGCTGATGCAGCCGCTGATGCAGCCGCTGATGCAGCCGCTGATGCGGAGGAGGATGAGGATGATGATGAGGATGATGGACGACCGACGGAAGGTTCCCCGCCGCTGCCGAACGGAGCTACAGCGGCCGCGGCCGATGATGAGGGCGGCGGTGGCGGTGGCAAGGAGGTGGAGGAGGAGGTGGAGGAGGTGGAGGAGGTGGCGGAGGAGGTGGAGGACGCCGGGGGCGGTGGTGGGGGCGATGGGGGCGGCGGGGGGAGGATGCGCTCAGGGTGAGGACGAGCGTGGTCGGGGCCCTCGACCAGGAAGGAGGAGGAGGAGGAGGAGAGGGGCGGTGACGATGCCAGGTAGAAGTCCTTCGCCTGGCTCAAGATGCGGCGATTGTCGATGATGAGGTGGTAGGCCACGGACAGCTGATCCTTGTGGGAATGTGGTGGGGGGTGGTGTGGGTGGGTGGGTGGGTGGGTGGGGGGGGGGTGGGGGGAGGGGGGGGGGTGGGTGGGTGGAGGTGGTGGTGGAGGGTGGTGTAGGAGATGGAGGTGGTGGAGTTGGAAGAAATGGAGGTGGTGGAGTTGGTGATGGTGGTGGTGATGGTGGTGGTGGTGATGGTGGTGGTGATGGTGATGGTGGAGGTGGTGGTGGTGGTGGGGGTGGTGATGTTGGTGGTGGTGGTAGTGGTGGTGGAGGAGGTGGAGATGGAGGAGATGGAGGAGGTGGAGGAAGTGGAGGAGGTGGTGGTGGTGGAGATGGAGGTGGTGGAGGTGGTGGTGGAGTTGGTGGAGGAGGAGGTGGTGGAGGAGGTGGAGGAGGTGGTGGAGGTGGAGGAGGAGGTGGTGGAGGAGGTGGAGGAGATGGAGGTGGTGGAGGAAGAGGAGGTGATGGAGGTGGTGGTGGTGGTGGTGGAGGAGATGGTGGTGGAGATGGAGGTGGTGGTGGAGGAGGTGGAGGAGGTGGAGGAGGAGATGGAGGAGGTGGAGGAGGTGGAGGTGGTGGAGGAGGTGGTGGTGGAGATGGAGGTGGTGGTGGAGGAGGTGGAGGAGGTGGAGGAGGAGATGGAGGAGGTGGAGGTGGTGGAGGAGGTGGTGGAGATGGAGGTGGAGGAGGTGGAGGAGATGGAGGAGGTGGAGGAGGTGGAGGAGGTGGAGGAGGTGGAGGTGGAGGAGGTGGAGGAGGTGGAGGTGGTGGAGGAGATGGAGGAGGAGATGGAGGAGGAGGTGATGGAGGTGGTGGAGATGGAGTTGGTGGTGGTGGAGTTGGTGGTGGTGGTGGAGTTGGTGGTGGTGGAGGAGGAGATGGAGGAGATGGAGGTGGAGGTGATGGAGTTGGTGGTGGTGGAGGTGGAGAAGATGGAGGAGGTGGAGGTGGTGGTGGTGGAGTTGGTGGTGGTGGAGGAGATGGAGGTGGAGATGATGGAGTTGGTGGTGATGGAGGTGGTGGAGATGGAGGAGGTGGTGGTGGTGGTGGTGGAGGAGATGGAGGAGGTGGTGGTGATGGTGGAGGTGGTGGTGGAGGAGGTGGAGGAGATGGAGGAGGAGGTGGAGGAGGAAGAGGTGCAGGGTATAAATTGTCATCCGCAGAAATTCTCATCTCTCTCTGCGAGAGACCCTTGTCTCGCGTCTAGTCAACCCCCCCCACCACCACCCTCTCCCCCCCACTATCCCCCCCCCACTACCCCCCACCACCACCACCCACCACCCACCACCACCACCCACCACCACCCACCACCACCCACCACCCACCACCACCCACCACCGGTACCTGTGGGTCACCACCGTAGAGGCTGGCCATCACCTCGTCCTCCGAGCACTCAAACTTCTCCGTCACCTCGCGCACGGCATCATCGTCCACGACCTTGGCATCGTGGGAACCATCGTCGGGGAACAGGTACCCAGGGAGGTCCTTCTTGAACCACTCGTACTCGCTGTAGTAGAGAGGACCAGGTACTAGTTAGTACTAGTACCAGTTAGTAGTGGTACTAGCTGTAGCGGGGAACAGGTACCCAGGGAGGTCCTTCTTGAACCACTCGTACTCCCTGTAGAGGACCAGGTACTAGTTAGTAGTAGTACTGGTACTACTAGCTAGTAGTGGTACTAGCTGTAGCGGGGAACAGGTACCCAGGGAGGTCCTTCTTGAACCACTCGTACTCCCTGTAGAGGACCAGGTACTAGTTAGTACCAGCTAGTAGTGGTACTAGTCCTACTAGCTAGTAGTGGTACTAGCTGTAGCGGGGAACAGGTACCCAGGGAGGTCCTTCTTGAACCACTCGTACTCGCTGTAGCAGAGAGGACCAGGTACTAGTTAGTACTAGTACCAGTTAGTAGTAGTACTGGTCCTACTAGCTAGTAGTGGTACAAGCTGTAGCAGGGAACAGGTACCCAGGGAGGTCCTTCTTGAACCACTCGTACTCCCTGTAGAGAGGACCAGGTACTAGTTAGTAGTGGTACTAGCTAGTAGTGGTACTAGCTGTAGCGGGGAACAGGCACCCAGGGAGGTCCTTCTTGAACCACTCGTACTCGCTGTAGAGGACCAGGTACTAGTTAGTACCAGTTAGTACTAGTACTAGTACTACTACTAGCTAGTAGTGGTACAAGCTGTAGCGGGGAACAGGTACCCAGGGAGGTCCTTCTTGAACCACTCGTACTCCCTGTAGAGAGGACCAGTTACTAGTTAGTACCAGCTAGTAGTAGTACTAGTTAGTAGTCCTACTAGCTAGTAGTGGTACAAGCTGTAGCGGGGAACAGGTACCCAGGGAGGTCCTTCTTGAACCACTCGTACTCGCTGTAGAGAGGACCAGGTACTAGTTAGTACAAGTACTAGTACTACTAGCTAGTAGTGGTACTAGCTGTAGCGGGGAACAGGTACCCAGGGAGGTCCTTCTTGAACCACTCGTACTCCCTGTAGAAGACCAGGTACTAGTTAGTAGTAGTACTGGTACTACTACTAGCTAGTAGTGGTACAAGCTGTAGCGGGGAACAGGTACCCAGGGAGGTCCTTCTTGAACCACTCGTACTCCCTGTAGAGGACCAGGTACTAGTTAGTAGTGGTACTAGTTAGTAGTGGTACTAGCTAGTAGTGGTACAAGCTGTAGCGGGGAACAGGTACCCAGGGAGGTCCTTCTTGAACCACTCGTACTCCCTGTAGAGGACCAGGTACTAGTTAGTAGTGGTACTAGCTGTAGCGGGGAACAGGTACCCAGGGAGGTCCTTCTTGAACCACTCGTACTCCCTGTAGAGGACCAGGTACTAGTTAGTAGTAGTACTGGTACTACTAGCTAGTAGTGGTACAAGCTGTAGCGGGGAACAGGTACCCAGGGAGGTCCTTCTTGAACCACTCGTACTCCCTGTAGAGGACCAGGTACTAGTTAGTAGTGGTACTAGCTGTAGCGGGGAACAGGTACCCAGGGAGGTCCTTCTTGAACCACTCGTACTCCCTGTAGAGGACCAGGTACTAGTTAGTAGTGGTACTAGCTAGTAGTGGTACAAGCTGTAGCAGGGAACAGGTACCCAGGGAGGTCCTTCTTGAACCACTCGTACTCACTGTAGAAGACCAGGTACTAGTTAGTAGTAGTACTGGTACTACTAGCTAGTAGTGGTACTAGCTGTAGCGGGGAACAGGTACCCAGGGAGGTCCTTCTTGAACCACTCGTACTCCCTGTAGAAGACCAGGTACTAGTTAGTAGTAGTACTACTAGCTAGTAGTGGTACTAGCTGTAGCGGGGAACAGGTACCCAGGGAGGTCCTTCTTGAACCACTCGTACTCCCTGTAGAGGACCAGGTACTAGTTAGTAGTAGTACTGGTACTACTAGCTAGTAGTGGTACAAGCTGTAGCGGGGAACAGGTACCCAGGGAGGTCCTTCTTGAACCACTCGTACTCCCTGTAGAGGACCAGGTACTAGTTAGTAGTGGTACTAGCTGTAGCAGGGAACAGGTACCCAGGGAGGTCCTTCTTGAACCACTCGTACTCCCTGTAGAGGACCAGGTACTAGTTAGTAGTGGTACTAGCTAGTAGTGGTACAAGCTGTAGCAGGGAACAGGTACCCAGGGAGGTCCTTCTTGAACCACTCGTACTCACTGTAGAAGACCAGGTACTAGTTAGTAGTAGTACTGGTACTACTAGCTAGTAGTGGTGCTCGCTGTAGCGGGGAACAGGTACCCAGGGAGGTCCTTCTTGAACCACTCGTACTCGCTGTAGCAGAGAGGACCAGGAACTAGTTAGTAGTGGTACTAGCTGTAGCGGGGAACAGGTACCCAGGGAGGTCCTTCTTGAACCACTCGTACTCCCTGTAGAGGACCAGGTACTAGTTAGTAGTGGTACTAGCTAGTAGTGGTACAAGCTGTAGCAGGGAACAGGTACCCAGGGAGGTCCTTCTTGAACCACTCGTACTCACTGTAGAAGACCAGGTACTAGTTAGTAGTAGTACTGGTACTACTAGCTAGTAGTGGTACAAGCTGTAGCGGGGAACAGGTACCCAGGGAGGTCCTTCTTGAACCACTCGTACTCCCTGTAGCAGAGAGGGACCAGGTACTAGTTAGTAGTAGTACCAGTTAGTAGTAGTACTGGTACTACTAGCTAGTAGTGGTACAAGCTGTAGCGGGGAACAGGTACCCAGGGAGGTCCTTCTTGAACCACTCGTACTCCCTGTAGAAGACCAGCTACTAGTTAGTAGTGGTACCAGCTAGTAGTGGTACTAGCTGTAGCGGGGAACAGGTACCCAGGGAGGTCCTTCTTGAACCACTCATACTCCCTGTAGAGAGGACCAGGTACTAGTTAGTAGTAGTACTGGTACTACTAGCTAGTAGTGGTACTAGTCCTACTAGCTAGTAGTGGTACAAGCTGTAGCGGGGAACAGGTACCCAGGGAGGTCCTTCTTGAACCACTCGTACTCCCTGTAGCAGAGAGGGACCAGTTAGTACAAGTACTAGCTAGTAGTGGTACTAGCTGTAGCGGGGAACAGGTACCCAGGGAGGTCCTTCTTGAACCACTCGTACTCACTGTAGAGGACCAGGTACTAGTTAGTACAAGTACTCACCAGTTAGTACAAGTACTAGCTAGTAGTGGTACTAGCTGTAGCAGGGAACAGGTACCCAGGGAGGTCCTTCTTGAACCACTCGTACTCCCTGTAGAAGACCAGGTACTAGTTAGTAGTGGTACTAGCTAGTAGTGGTGCTAGCTGTAGCGGGGAACAGGTACCCAGGGAGGTCCTTCTTGAACCACTCGTACTCCCTGTAGAGGACCAGCTACTAGTTAGTAGTGGTACTAGCTAGTAGTGGTACAAGCTGTAGCAGGGAACAGGTACCCAGGGAGGTCCTTCTTGAACCATTCGTACTCCCTGTAGCAGAGAGGACCAGGTACTAGTTAGTACTAGTACTCACCAGTGAGTACAAGTACTAGCTAGTAGTGGTACTAGCTAGTAGTGGTACAAGCTGTAGCAGGGAACAGGTACCCAGGGAGGTCCTTCTTGAACCACTCGTACTCCCTGTAGAGGACCAGGTACTAGTTAGTAGTGGTACTAGTACTACTAGCTAGTAGTGGTACAAGCTGTAGCGGGGAACAGGTACCCAGGGAGGTCCTTCTTGAACCACTCGTACTCGCTGTAGCAGAGAGGACCAGGTACTAGTTAGTACTAGTACTAGTTAGTAGTGGTACTAGCTGTAGCGGGGAACAGGTACCCAGGGAGGTCCTTCTTGAACCACTCGTACTCCCTGTAGAGGACCAGGTACTAGTTAGTACAAGTACTAGTACTACTAGCTAGTACTAGTACTACTAGTACTACTAGCTAGTACTACTAGTAGTACTACTATTAGCTAGTAGTGGTACTCGCTAGTAGTGGTACTAGCTAGTAGTAGCTAGTACTAGCTAGTACTACTACTACTAGCTAGTACTACTACTACTACTCACCGGATGTCCTTGATGTTGGCCCGTCTGAGCGGGTCGACCTGTAGCATGTGCAGCAGCAGAGCCGCTAGGCCTCGGGGCAAGTAGTCCTAGTAGTACCAGTACTACTACTAGTACTACTAGCTAGTAGTACCAGTACTACTACTAGCTAGTACTACTAGCTAGTAGTACTAGTACTAACTAGTACTACTACTCACCGGATGTCCTTGATGTTGGCCCGTCTGAGCGGGTCGACCTGTAGCATGTGCAGCAGCAGAGCCGCTAGGCCTCTGGGCAAGTAGTCCTAGTACTACTAGCTAGTACTACTACTAGTACTACTAGCTAGTAGTACTGGTACTACTACTAGCTACCACTACTACTACTCACCGGATGTCCTTGATGTTGGCCCGTCTGAGCGGGTCGACCTGTAGCATGTGCAGCAGCAGAGCCGCTAGGCCTCGGGGCAAGTAGTCCTAGTAGTACCAGTACTACTAGTACTACTAGCTAGTACTACTACTAGCTAGTAGTACTGGTACTACTACTAGCTACCACTACTACTACTCACCGGATGTCCTTGATGTTGGCCCGTCTGAGCGGGTCGACCTGTAGCATGTGCAGCAGCAGAGCCGCTAGGCCTCTGGGCAAGTAGTCCGGCACGTGGAAGACCCCTTCCCGGATCTTGCGGAAGAGCGTGGGCACGTGGTCATCATCGAAGGGCAGTGTTCCACACAGCAACGCGTACAGGATCACGCCGCTAGACCAGATGTCCACTTCGGGGCCAGCGTACAGGCTGGCAGACGGGGGTGGAGGTGGTGGTGGTGGTGGTGGTGGTTGGGGTGGTGGTGGTGGAGTAGGAGATGGAGGAGATGGAGGTGGTGGGAGAGATGGAGGAAATGGAGGTGCAGGTGGTCGTTGTGATGGTGGTGGTGGAGGTGGTGGTGGTGGTGGAGGAGATTGAGGAGATGGAGGTGGTGGTGGGGGTGGTGGTGGAGGTGGTTGTGGTGGTGGTGGTGGTGATGGTGGTGGTGGTGGAGGAGATGGAGGTGGTGGTGGAGATGGAGGTGGTGGTGATGGAAGAGGAGATGGAGGTGGTGGGGGAGATGGAGGAGATGGAGGTGGTGGTGGTGGTGGTTGGTGGTGGTGGTGGTGGTAGAGGAGGAGATGGAGGTGGTGGAAGAGATGGAGGAGATGGAGGTGGTGGTGGTTGTGGTGGGGGTGGAGGTTGGAGTGGTGGTGGTGGTGGAGGAGATGGAGGAGATGGAGGTGGTGGTGGAGGTGGTGGTGGAGGTGGTGGTGATGGTGGTGGGAGTGGTGGTGGTGGAGGGGGTGGTTGGAGTGGTGGTGGTGGTGGAGGTGGAGCAGATGGAGGTGGTGGGGGAGATGGAGGAGATGGAGGTGGTGGAGGTGGTGGTGGTGGTGGTGGAGGTGATGGTGGTGGTTGGGGTGGTGGTTGGGGTGGTGGAGGAGGAGATGGAGGTGGTGGTGGTGGTGGGGGTGGAGGGAGTGCTGGTGATGGTGGTGGTGGTTGTGGAGGTGTTGGTGGTGATGGTGGTGGTGATGGTAGTGGTGATGGTGGAGGTGGAGTGGTGGTGGTGGTGTTGGTGGTGGGGGTGGAGGTGGTGGTGGTTGGGGTGGTGGTTGGGGTGGTGGAGATGGAGGTGGTGGTGGGTGGTGGTGGTGATGGTGGTGGGGTGGAGGTGGTGGTGGTGGTGATGGTGGAGGTGGTGGTGGTTGGGGTGGTGGTTGGGGTGGTGGAGGTGGAGATGGAGGAGATGGAGGTGGTGGTGGGTGGTGGTGGTGATGGTGGTGGGGTGGAGGTGGTGGTGGTGGAGGTTGGGGTGGTGATGGTGGTGGTGGAGGTGGTGGTGGTGATGGTGGTGGTGGTGGTGGAGGTTGGGGTGGTGGTGGTGGGGGGTTGGGGTGATGGTGGTGGAGGAGATGGAGGAGATGGAGGAGATGGAGGTGGTGGTGGTTGTGGTGGGGGTGGAGGTTGGAGTGGTGGTTGGAGTGGTGGTGGTGGGGGTAGAGGTGGAGGGGGTGGAGGGGGTGGAAGTATTCCATTACTCACCCACCCACTCACTCACCCAGCCACTCACCACTCACCCAGTTTCAGTTTCACTCATTCACTCAGACACGGAGACACGGTGAGACACGGGGAGAGACACGGTCAGACACGGGGAGACACGTGGAGACACGGTGAGACACGTGGAGACACGGGGGAGAGACATGGCGAGACACAGGGAGACACGTGGGAGAGACACGGGGGAAGACACGGGGAGAGACACGGGGAGAGACGGTGAGACACGGGGAGACACGGGGGAGAGACAGAGAGAGACACGGGGGAGAGACACAGGGAGAGACACGGGGGAGAGACACGGGGGAAGACACGGGGAGACACGGTGAGACACAGGGAGACACGGAGAGACACGGTGAGACACAGGGAGAGACACGGGGGAGAGACACGGGGGAAAACACGGGGAGAGACACGGGGAGAGACACGGGGAGAGACACGGGGAGAGACAGAGAGAGACGGACAGAGACACGGTGAGAGACACGGAGAGAGACACGGTGAGAGACACGGTGAGAGACAGAGAGAGACACGGTGAGAGAGACACAGTGAGAGACACGGGGAGAGACACGTGGAGACACGTGGAGACACAGAGACACAGAGAGAGACAGAGAGACACGTGGAGACACGGTGAGACACAGAGACACAGAGACACGGGGAGAGACACAGAGAGACACGTGGAGACACGTGGAGACACAGAGACACAGAGAGAGAGAGACAGAGAGACACGTGGAGACACGGTGAGACACAGAGAGACACGGGGAGAGACAGAGAGACAGAGAGACACAGAGAGACACGTGGAGACACGTGGAGACACAGAGACACAGAGAGACACGGGGAGAGACACAGAGAGACACGTGGAGACACAGAGACACAGAGAGAGAGAGAGAGACAGAGAGACACGTGGAGACACGGTGAGACACAGAGAGACACGGGGAGAGAGACAGAGACAGAGAGACACAGAGAGACACGTGGAGACACGTGGAGACACAGAGACACAGAGAGACACGGGGAGAGACACAGAGAGACACGTGGAGATACGTGGAGACACAGAGACACAGAGAGAGACAGAGAGACACGTGGAGACACGGTGAGACACAGAGACACAGAGAGACACGGGGAGAGACACAGAGACAGAGAGACACAGAGAGACACGTGGAGACACGTGGAGACACAGAGACACAGAGAGAGACAGAGAGACACGTGGAGACACGGTGAGGCACAGAGACACAGAGAGACACAGAGAGACACGGGGAGAGAGACAGAGACAGAGAGACACAGAGAGACACGTGGAGACACGTGGAGACACAGAGACACAGAGAGACACGGGGAGAGACACAGAGAGACACGTGGAGACACAGAGACACAGAGAGACACGGGGAGAGACACAGAGAGACACGTGGAGACACGTGGAGACACAGAGACACAGAGAGAGACAGAGAGACACGTGGAGACACGGTGAGACACAGAGACACAGAGAGACACGGGGAGAGACACAGAGACAGAGAGACACAGAGAGACACGTGCAGACACGTGGAGACACAGAGACACAGAGAGAGACAGAGAGACACGTGGAGACACAGAGACACGGTGAGACACAGAGACACAGAGAGACACAGAGAGACACGTGGAGACACGTGGAGACACAGAGACACAGAGAGAGACACAGAGACACAGAGAGACACGTGGAGACACAGGGAGACATGTGGAGACACGTGGAGACACAGAGACACAGAGACAGAGACACAGAGACACAGAGAGAGACAGAGACACGGTGAGACACAGAGAGAGACAGAGAGACACGTGGAGACACAGAGACACGGCGAGACATAGAGACACAGAGACAGAGAGACACGTGGAGACACGGTGAGACACGGTGAGACACGGTGAGACACAGAGAGACAGAGAGACAGAGACACAGAGAGACACAGAGAGACACAGAGAGCGACAGAGATACACAGAGACACAGAGACACAGAGAGACACAGAGAGACAGAGAGACACAGAGACACAGACAGAGAGACACAGAGACACAGAGAGAGACACAGAGAGACAGAGAGACACAGAGACACAGAGAGAGACAGAGACACAGAAAGACACGTGTCTCAGCGTGTCTCCCCGTGTCTCAGCGTGTCTCAGCGTGTCTCACTCACCGTGTCTCTCCCCGTGTCTCTCTCTCCCCGTGTCTCTCTCCCCGTGTCTCTCTCTCTCCGTGTCTCTCTCCCAGTGTCTCTCTCCCCGTGTCTCTCTCCCCGTGTCTCTCTCCCCGTGTCTCTCTCTCCCCGTGTCTCTCCCCCCGTGTCTCTCTCTCCCCGTGTCTCTCTCCCCGTGTCTCTCTCCCCGTGTCTCTCTCCCAGTGTCTCTCTACCCGTGTCTCTCTCTCCCCGTGTCTCTCTCTCCCCGTGTCTCTCTCTCCGTGTCTCTCTCTCCCAGTGTCTCTCTCCCCGTGTCTCTCTCTCCCCGTGTCTCTCTCCCCGTGTCTCTCTCCCCGTGTCTCTCTCCCCGTGTCTCTCTCTCACCGTGTCTCTCTCTCCCTGTGTCTCTCTCCCCGTGTCTCTCTCTCCCCGTGTCTCTCTCCCCGTGTCTCTCTCCCCATGTCTCTCTCTCCCCGTGTCTCTCTCTCTCCCCGTGTCTCTCTCTCTCCCCGTGTCTCCCCGTGTCTCTCTCCCCGTGTCTCTCTCCCCGTGTCTCTCTCCCCATGTCTCTCTCTCCCCGTGTCTCTCTCTCTCCCCGTGTCTCTCTCCCCGTGTCTCCCCGTGTCTCTCTCCCCGTGTCTCTCTCCCCGTGTCTCTCTCCCCGTGTCTCTCTCCCCGTGTCTCTCTCCCCGTGTCTCTCTCCCCGTGTCTCTCTCTCCCCGTGTCTCTCTCTCCCCGTGTCTCTCTCTCCCCGTGTCTCTCTCCCCGTGTCTCTCTCTCCCCGTGTCTCTCTCTCCCCGTGTCTCTCTCCCCGTGTCTCTCTCTCCCCGTGTCTCTCTCCCCGTGTCTCTCTCCCCATGTCTCTCTCTCCCCGTGTCTCTCTCTCTCCCCGTGTCTCTCTCCCCGTGTCTCCCCGTGTCTCTCTCCCCGTGTCTCTCTCCCCGTGTCTCTCTCCCCATGTCTCTCTCTCCCCGTGTCTCTCTCTCTCCCCGTGTCTCTCTCCCCGTGTCTCCCCGTGTCTCTCTCCCCGTGTCTCTCTCTCTCTGTGTCTCTCCCCGTGTCTCTCTCCCCGTGTCTCTCTCTCCCCGTGTCTCTCTCTCCCCGTGTCTCTCTCTCCCCGTGTCTCTCTCTCCCCGTGTCTCTCTCTCCCCGTGTCTCTCTCCCCGTGTCTCTCTCTCCCCGTGTCTCTCTCTCCCCGTGTCTCTCTCCCCGTGTCTCTCTCTCCCCGTGTCTCTCTCTCCCCGTGTCTCTCTCCCCGTGTCTCTCTCTCTCCCCGTGTCTCTCTCTCCCCGTGTCTCTCTCTCCCCGTGTCTCTCTCCCCGTGTCTCTCTCTCCCCGTGTCTCTCTCTCCCCGTGTCTCTCTCCCCGTGTCTCTCTCCCCGTGTCTCTCTCCCCGTGTCTCTCTCCCCGTGTCTCTCTCTCTCCCCGTGTCTCTCTCCCCGTGTCTCTCTCTCCCCGTGTCTCTCTCTCCCCGTGTCTCTCTCTCCCCGTGTCTCTCTCTCCCCGTGTCTCTCTCCCCGTGTCTCTCTCTCCCCGTGTCTCTCTCCCCGTGTCTCTCTCTCCCCGTGTCTCTCTCTCCCCGTGTCTCTCTCTCCCCGTGTCTCTCTCTCCCCGTGTCTCTCTCCCCGTGTCTCTCTCCCCGTGTCTCTCTCTCCCCGTGTCTCTCTCCCCGTGTCTCTCTCCCCGTGTCTCTCTCCCCGTGTCTCTCTCCCCGTGTCTCTCTCTCCCCGTGTCTCTCTCCCCGTGTCTCTCTCCCCATGTCTCTCTCCCAATGTCTCTCTCTCTCCCCGTGTCTCTCTCCCCGTGTCTGTCTCCCCGTGTCTCCCCGTGTCTCTCTCCCCGTGTCTCTCTCCCCGTGTCTCTCTCTCCCCGTGTCTCTCTCTCCCCGTGTCTCTCTCCCCGTGTCTCTCTCCCCGTGTCTCTCTCCCCGTGTCTCTCTCCCCGTGTCTCTCTCTCCGTGTCTCTCTCCCCGTGTCTCTCTCCCCGTGTCTCTCTCTCTCCGTGTCTCTCTCTCCCCGTGTCTGTCTCCCCGTGTCTCCGCGTGTCTCTCTCCCCGTGTCTCTCACCCCGTGTCTCTCTCTCTCCCCGTGTCTCTCTCTCCCCGTGTCTCTCTCCCCGTGTCTCTCTCCCCGTGTCTCTCTCCCCGTGTCTCTCTCCCCGTGTCTCTCTCCCCGTGTCTCTCTCCCCGTGTCTCTCCCTCCCCGTGTCTCTCTCCCCGTGTCTCTCTCCCCGTGTCTCTCTCCCCGTGTCTCTCTCCCCATGTCTCTCTCCCCGTGTCTCTCTCTCCCCGTGTCTCTCTCCCCATGTCTCTCTCCCCGTGTCTCTCTCTCACCGTGTCTCTCTCTCCCCGTGTCTCTCTCCCCGTGTCTCTCTCCCCGTGTCTCAGCGTGTCTCCCCGTGTCTCCCCGTGTCTCAGCGTGTCTCTCTCCCCGTGTCTCTCTCCCCGTGTCTCTCTCCCCGTGTCTCTCTCCCCGTGTCTCTCTCTCCCCGGTGTCTCTCTCCCCGTGTCTCTCTCCCCGTGTCTCTCTCTCCCTGTGTCTCTCTCCCCGTGTCTCTCTCCCCGTGTCTCTCTCTCCGTGTCTCTCTCTCCCCGTGTCTCTCTCCCCGTGTCTCTCTCCCCGTGTCTCTCTCCCCGTGTCTCTCTCCCCGTGTCTCTCTCTCCCCGTGTCTCTCTCCCCGTGTCTCTCTCCCCGTGTCTCTCTCCCCGTGTCTCTCTCCCCGTGTCTCTCTCCCCGTGTCTCTCTCCCCGTGTCTCTCTCTCCCCGTGTCTCTCTCCCCGTGTCTCTCTCTCCCCGTGTCTCTCTCTCCCCGTGTCTCTCTCTCCCCGTGTCTCTCTCTCTCCCCGTGTCTCTCTCGCCGTGTCTCTCTCCCCGTGTCTCTCCCCGTGTCTCTCTCTCCCCGTGTCTCTCTCTCCCCGTGTCTCTCTCTCCCCGTGTCTCTCTCCCCGTGTCTCTCTCCCCGTGTCTCTCTCTCTCCCCGTGTCTCTCTCCCCGTGTCTCTCTCCCCGTGTCTCTCTCCCCGTGTCTCTCTCCCCGTGTCTCTCTCCCCGTGTCTCTCTCTCCCCGTGTCTCTCTCTCCACGTGTCTCTCTCTCCCCGTGTCTCTCTCCCCGTGTCTCTCTCCCCGTGTCTCTCTCTCCCCGTGTCTCTCTCTCCCCGTGTCTCTCTCCCCGTGTCTCTCTCCCCGTGTCTCTCTCCCCGTGTCTCTCTCTCCCCGTGTCTCTCTCCCCGTGTCTCTCTCCCCGTGTCTCTCTCCCCGTGTCTCTCTCTCCCCGTGTCTCTCTCTCCCCGTGTCTCTCTCCCCGTGTCTCTCTCCCCGTGTCTCTCTCCCCGTGTCTCTCCCCGTGTCTCTCTCCCCGTGTCTCTCTCCCCGTGTCTCTCTCCCCGTGTCTCTCTCTCCCCGTGTCTCTCTCCCCGTGTCTCTCTCTCTCACCGTGTCTCTCTCTCCCCGTGTCTCTCTCCCCGTGTCTCTCTCCCCAGTGTCTCTCTCTCTCCCCGTGTCTCTCTCCCCGTGTCTCTCCCGTGTCTCTCTCCCCGTGTCTCTCTCTCCCCGTGTCTCTCTCCCCGTGTCTCTCTCCCCGTGTCTCTCTCTCCCCGTGTCTCTCTCCCCGTGTCTCTCTCTCCCCGTGTCTCTCTCCCCGTGTCTCTCTCCCCGTGTCTCTCTCCCCGTGTCTCTCTCCCCGTGTCTCTCTCCCCGTGTCTCTCTCCCCGTGTCTCTCTCTCCCCGTGTCTCTCTCCCCGTGTCTCTCTCCCCGTGTCTCTCTCTCCCCGTGTCTCTCTCTCCCCGTGTCTCTCTCTCCCCGTGTCTCTCTCTCCCCGTGTCTCTCTCTCCCCGTGTCTCTCTCTCTCCCCGTGTCTCTCTCCCCGTGTCTCTCTCCCCGTGTCTCTCCCCGTGTCTCTCTCTCCCCGTGTCTCTCTCTCCCCGTGTCTCTCTCTCCCCGTGTCTCTCTCCCCGTGTCTCTCTCCCCGTGTCTCTCTCTCTCCCCGTGTCTCTCTCCCCGTGTCTCTCTCCCCGTGTCTCTCTCCCCGTGTCTCTCTCCCCGTGTCTCTCTCCCCGTGTCTCTCTCTCCCCGTGTCTCTCTCTCCACGTGTCTCTCTCTCCCCGTGTCTCTCTCCCCGTGTCTCTCTCTCCCCGTGTCTCTCTCTCCCCGTGTCTCTCTCCCCGTGTCTCTCTCCCCGTGTCTCTCTCCCCGTGTCTCTCTCTCCCCGTGTCTCTCTCTCCCCGTGTCTCTCTCTCCCCGTGTCTCTCTCCCCGTGTCTCTCTCCCCGTGTCTCTCTCTCCCCGTGTCTCTCTCTCCCCGTGTCTCTCTCCCCGTGTCTCTCTCCCCGTGTCTCTCTCCCCGTGTCTCTCTCTCCCCGTGTCTCTCTCCCCGTGTCTCTCTCCCCGTGTCTCTCTCCCCGTGTCTCTCTCTCCCCGTGTCTCTCTCTCCCCGTGTCTCTCTCCCCGTGTCTCTCTCCCCATGTCTCTCTCTCTCCCCGTGTCTCTCTCCCCGTGTCTCTCTCCCCGTGTCTCTCTCTCTCCCCGTGTCTCTCTCCCCGTGTCTCTCTCTCTCCCCGTGTCTCTCTCACCGTGTCTCTCTCTCCCCGTGTCTCTCTCTCCCCGTGTCTCTCTCTCCCCGTGTCTCTCTCTCCCCGTGTCTCTCTCCCCGTGTCTCTCTCCCCGTGTCTCTCTCCCCATGTCTCTCTCCCCGTGTCTCTCTCCCCGTGTCTCTCTCTCCCCGTGTCTCTCTCCCCATGTCTCTCTCCCCGTGTCTCTCTCCCCATGTCTCTCTCCCCGTGTCTCTCTCCCCATGTCTCTCTCCCCGTGTCTCTCTCCCCGTGTCTCTCTCTCTCCCCGTGTCTCTCTCTCCCCGTGTCTCTCTCTCCCCGTGTCTCTCTCCCCGTGTCTCTCTCTCCCCGTGTCTCTCTCTCTCCCCGTGTCTCTCTCTCCCCGTGTCTCTCTCTCCCCGTGTCTCTCTCCCCGTGTCTCTCTCCCCGTGTCTCTCT